GGCCGGGGACGAGTCCGGCGGAGGGAACACAGGGTCGTAGACAGGAAGAGGAGGAGACGGTCGGAGAGGAACAGACGCAGGGTCGGGGGACGGAAGGCCGAGCAGGCAAAGGGCTGACACCGGCGGGGACTGCTGCTGCGGCGGCACAACGGCGACACCTGGACCGCAAGCTGCTCCTCGGCTACCACCGGCACACTCCACACCAGCACCCCCAGAGTGACCACCCCCAGGGCGACCGGGACGAGCACCCCCAGAGTCAGCGAACGGGTGCTGCGACGGCGGCGGCGGCAGCGACCACGACGGCGGCAGCGGCGGCAGGGGCGGTGGAGGAGGGGACGCCGGGGGAAGGGCGGCCGGCGAGGACTGCGCAGCAGGGCCACCAGAGTCAGAAGACTCCTCAACTGGGTCCACCGACGGGAGGGGGGTGACATGGGACACACCAGAGGGAGCAGGACGGGGAGGAGGAGGAGGAGGGGCAGGGACTACCGGGGAAGGAGTGACCAGGAACAGGGGGGGGGTAACCGGGGGACCGCGGTGGGTGAAGCGATGGTAGTAGGAGACGGACTCGTCAAAGGTGACGTCGCGAGAGTGAAAGAAGCGGTGAGACGGCGGGTGGTAAAAGTGCCAGTCGGACGCGTCAAGGGGAAAACCGAGGAAGACGCAGGGAAGGGTGCGGGCAGTGAGCTTGTCCGTGTCGGAGGCACGGACGTGAGCAAGGCAGCCCCAGACGTGGAACGCAGACGCGTCACCAGGAGACCCAGTCCAAAGACAGGTCGGCGAAACCTGCGGCTGCTGAGGGTGCGGCCACAAGTTAAGCTGGTGAGAAGCGTAGCGCACAGCGAACGGCCACAGAAAATGGGGTGCACCGGCATGGATCATGGAGATGCGAGCCACCTCCATGACCAAACCGATGCGTCGCTCAGTGACCCCATTCTGCTGTGGGGAGTCCGGTAGGGTGAACGTCTGGGTGGTGCCCTCCGCACGACAAAAGCGACCAAGGACACCTGAGACAAACTCGCCACCACGGTCGGAGTGAAGGCGCAAGACAGGGAGACCGCGGTGGACACACGCAGAGACAAGCCAGGGGATGAGAGCGCCAGGCACGTCGGCCTTGCGCTCCAGGGGAAAGACTGTGGTGTAACGAGTAAAGTCGTCGACAAGGACAAGGAAGTAGCGCTCTCGACGCGGCCCAGGGACGGGGGCGGGGCCCCAGACGTCCAGGTGCAGGGTCTGCAGCGGCGCGGCGGTAGGGGGAAAAGGGGAGGAGTGAGGGGCACGGCGAAGCCGACCCTCGACACAAGGCGTGCAAGGTGGGGCTGGGGAGGAGGGAAACGCAGGGAGAGAACCTGGGAGACCAAGGACAAGACCGTGCTGGGACATGTGACGCAGACGCGGGAGCGCAGGGTGACCTAGGCGGTGGTGCCAAAGGAGAGTCGGGTGAGTGAGGGACCGACAGGAGCAGGCAGCAGCAACCTGGGTGAGCGCTCCAGCCGGGGGGGTCACGGTGTCCAGAGTGAACAGGCCGGACACCGGGTCCTGGGGGAACGTGGACAGGGGGGCACCAGTGGCGGCCTCGGTACAGACAGCATACCGCTCGTGACCAGGGAACGTAGTGGTGACGCCAAGGTCCTGGAGGCAGCCGACACCAACTAGGTTCCTGGAGAACGAGGGGATATGCAGACCTGTGAGAGAGCCCGAAGGAACCGCCGGACAGGGAAGGGTGGTGGAACTGCGGGCGACTACCGGACCGCCGGAGGGGTCAGCAAGAGAAACGGCAGCAGGAACAGGAAGCGGCGTCAGTGTAGTGGAGTCGCGGAAGAAGCACCGGGAAGCGCCAGAGTCCAAGGTGAAGGAAAGCGAAGCAGAGGCGTTTGGCGTCGGGTCGACGGCGGAAGCACCAAGACTAAACAAAGCAAGGGATCCTACGCCTGACGCAGCAGGGGAGGCTAAGCTAGGCACACCTACACTAGATGACAGTGAGTAATAAGCGGGAAGCACACTAGAGTCATCAGCATACATCACATGCAGAGCAGCAACAATGGCATCCATGTCCAAGTCAAAAATCGGAATACTACGTCTAAGCATGCTGTGCCAGTCCGGGAGGTCTGGCGACGGGCCGAAGCGCTGACGAAACAGGTCGTCCAGGCGACGAAAACAGCGGGGAGTGGAATGACCGATCTTACCGCAAACGAAGCCGCGGCGAGGACCGGTCTGGATCTGGTACTGACAACGCACGCCCCCGGAACCACCACTCGGTACACCACCACGCGCCCGACCACCGCCAGCGCCGGGCCACCCGGGCGGGAGGACACTCGTCTGCCTCGGCTGCGGCGGCTGCTGCGAAGGCTGCGGCTGCTGCGACTGCGGCGGCTGCTGCGGCTGCTGCTGCTGCGACTGCAGGGGCAGCGGCTCAGCTGGACTGGGCAGGGTACCCTCGTCCGCTCCAGCACCAGACGACCCGACTCCACCACCACCCCCTCCAGCACCCCCGCCTCCTCCGCCGCGCCCAACCTTGGGGCGGCGGCCCTTCACCGAACGAAACTGCACTGCAGCAGCAGTCTCAGCCACAGCGGCAGAGCCGTCGGAGAAGGTACACTGAGCGGGGGCACAACCCTGAAAGATAGGGACCGGGACGGTACCGCTCGCCTGGGCGATGGAGCAGTGGCGGGTCTCAATCACAGTCAGGGTGTCGACAAAGTCAGTGAGGGTGAGGTCTGCGGGGTGAATGCTAAGGAAGCGGTCGCGGGCGACAGCAAGGCGGTCAGGGAGGCGGGTGGCAAGCAGGTAAAGGGTAGAGGTAATGGGCGGCTGGTGGGCTCTAAGCTGTGCGTCAGTGCAGGCAACGCGCCAGGTCTCATCTATCGAGTGCAGGTGGGCAGCGAGGTCAGAGACAGTGGGGAAAGATGCAAGGTCAGGAAAGAGCATCGGGAGGATCAGACGACCCACCGAGGCAGCCGGAGGGGTAGAATAGCGCTTGATGACAGCATCTAAGTATGCCTGAGCAGTAGTGAGGGACCTAAAGCGAGGGCGCTCGGACGGGGGAAGGGCGTTGCTAATGGCAAGCTGGGCGACAGCATCGCGAGAAAGCCACACAGAGCGCGCACGGGCAGTGGCAGCAGCAGACTCGCGCTCAGTGGGTGTGGAGTCAGCGGGCAGAATAGCAGGGGGGTCTGGGCAGGGGAGCGTACCGTCAAGGTGTGCGGAAAGCGGTTCACCATCCTGCCTCTGGCCAGTGAGTTGGCGCCGGAGGTCGGCAAGCCACGCCTCGAACTCCAGAGGCTGGCCTTCAGCGTCGAAGCGAAGCTCCGCCGCCATCAGGGGCAAGGCAGGACGGGACAGTACGGTGCAGTGAAGTGCAGTGCAAAGCAGAGCAGTGCAGGGCGGTGCAGCGCGGGGCAGGGCAGTGCAGGGCTGTGCAGTGCGGTGCAGGGCAGTGCAGGGAGGGGGGGGGGGGGACCCTACCAGTGAGGAGGAAGGGGCCGGGGCAGGGATGAGCGCAGGGGCCGGGCACGGCGCAACGGGGCCGGGCGGGTGCGACGGGGCCGGGCCGGTGCGACGGGGCCGGGCGGGTGCGACGGGGCCGGGCCGATGCGACGGGGCCGGGCAGGTGCGACGGGGCCGGGCGGGCGCGACGGGGCCGGGCAGGCGCGACGGGGCCGGGCCGGTGCGACGGGGCCGGGCAGGTGCAACGGGGCCGGGCCGGTGCGACGGGGCCGGGCGGGTGCGACGGGGCCGAGCGGGCGCGACGGGGCCGGGCAGGTGCGACGGGGCCGGGCAGGTGCGACGGGGCCGGGCAGGGCGCGACGGGGCCGGGCAGGGCGCGATGGGGCCTGAAGGCTGGACGGGGGGCCCAGGAGGGGCGCTACGGGGCCCAGGAGGGGCGTGACGCGGCCCTGGAGGGGCACTACGGGGCCCAGGAGGGGCCGAGGCGGGGCGCAGGAGGGGCCCAGGAGGGGTGCGACGGGGCCCAGGAGGGGCACTACGGAGCCCAGGAGGGGCCCAGGAGGGGCGCGACGGGGCCCAGGAGGGGCGCTACAGGGCCCAGGAGGGGCGTGACGCGGCCCTGGAGGGGCACTACGGGGCCCAGGAGGGGCCGAGGCGGGGTGCGACGGGGCCCAGGAGGGGCGCTACGGGGCCCAGGAGGGGCACTACGGGGCCCAGGAGGGGGGGGCCCAGGAGGGGCGCGACGGGGCCCAGGAGGGGCACTACGGGGCCCAGGAGGGGCCCAGGAGGGGCGCGACGGGGCGAGGGGCGCAGCAAGGCCCGGGAGGGTCGCAACGGGGCTAGGAGGTCGCGACGGGGCTAGGAGGTCGCGACGGGGCTGGGGGTCGCGCCGGGGCCCAGGGGGTCGCGACGGGGGCTAGGGGGTCGCGACGGGGCCCAGGAGGGGCGCGGCAGGGCGAGGGGCACGACAGGGCCCAGGGGGTCGCGACGGGGCTAGGGGGGAGGCACGGCGGGGCCTAGCTAGGGGACGAGCGGAAGCGGTAGGTGGGGGGATCCTAATCTACGCGTGATACCATATCAAATTGAGAGAAGTGAATGATGGGATAGAGGGAGAGTACAGATAGATATACCTAAGTATTGTACCCTCTAAGAGATGACCCTATACAGTCTATGCAAACATAACAAATACACATGTTTGATACCTAGTTCCTAGTTTCAACAAGGAATGCATAAGTAAACTTTGTGGAGTATACTTCAACAAACGGCACCCTTGACATTGAGTGCAGTGCTAAATGTCAGGGCGCATTCCTACTTCAGCGCGCTCAGTACCAGGAACCGAACTTCGCGAACTACCGAATTAAACCGCACAGTAATTCGCGTTTTTAATCCTTAGACTTTACTGTATCGCGTTTCAGATTCAATTTCGGGTTTGCTGGTACTGGACACTTTCCTGTAGGAATACGCCCTCAATCTCAGACCATTCTGCAGGCATAGGTGGAACGAACGAGTGATGTGTTTTTACCAATCTGCATGTTGACCTGGGTTGCTTTAGTTTGGTCCAATCCCATACTAGACCACCATCGTCAGATATAAGTTACCGTAGGAATGATCAGCTTTCTGTAACAAGGACAAGCATGAGTACAAAATCTGCAATACAATGAATGACATGTGACACGGCAATAAGATGCCAATTGCAGCACAGCCTTGCTGACACGCTGGCGTCCATTAGTGTGGAGCTAAACAAGCAAGGGTGTCAGCAGCAACAGCAGTAGCAGAGGCAGCCGGCACATGCACGTGTGTCAACTGCGCTTCAGGAAGGAAGCACAAGGGAAGGAAGCCCAGGAAAGTGCTGAGTATTGAAGGTGCAAGAATCCTGTAAATCAGTTAACCTCGGCCACTCCTCCACCCACCACCACCACTGCCACCACCGCCCCTCCTGTTCCCCCGTAACCCCCTCCTCCGCCCCCTCTGCTGCTGCCACCACCACCGAACCTACCACGACCACCGCTCCCCCCTCCACCTCCACCACCTCCTCCTCCCCATCTCCTTGGGCCTCCGGGACTGGAGGGGGTAGCGCAGGGCGGGGCGAAGAGAGAGAGAGGGGAGGAGGAATGGGAAGGAGAGAGAGGAGTGCCAAGGAACGAGACCACAAGGGCAGGGAGAGGCCAATGGACAGCAAGAGGGAGGAGAGCATAAGAGAGGGGAGAGGAGAAGAGCGGAGAGACAGGGAGAGAGAAGAATCAGGAGGGAGAGGAGGAGGGTGAGGTGAGGAACGGAAAGTGGTTGGTTTGGGAGGAGGACTGCGATCAGCACCGTTGATTCATTTTGCGCACATCACAGCGCATCTGGCCCGTTCTAGGGACACAGATGTCAGCGCAAGATTATTGGTCATCCCTTCGCTCGGGGGAAGAGAGAGGGCAAAAGAAAGGCGCGAGATGGGAGAATTGACAGGAAAGGCTGGATGCATAGGCTGGCGAAGAGGGTGGAGAGAGGAGGGTGAAAGGGAAGAGGGATTCAGTGAGGGAGTGAACAGATAGAGGGCAAGCCAGCGGGCGATAGAAAGTCGCGAGATGGGAGAGGTTCACAGGGAAAGGCTATGAGATGGTGAAGAGGGTGGCGAGGCGATGGCTCTTAAAACCAGCATACCAAATGTCCCAAAAATGCCTCGAGCTTCCTACCTTTGGTTGAGAGTTCCCCAAGAGAACTACTCAACAACCAATCCCGTCTTCCTATCCAACCAACCTTCCTACCATTGAACTACTTGGCACGCGGGCTTTAAGGAAAGCAGGTGAAAGAGAAAAGGTTTAGAGAACAGAAAGGGTTAGAGAGGGCGAGCCAGAAAAAACAAATTCAGGAGCAGAGCAGCGATCAGCACCGTTGATTCATTTTGCGCACATCACAGCGCATCTGGCCCGTTCTACGAACACAGATGTCAGCGCAAGTTGGGTCATCCCTTTGCTGCTCTTCACACAACTCTCACCTGCCTCAATGCCTCTTCGCCTCACCTGCCCCCATGCGCGGCCCCTCACCCGTTCGATGCACCGGGTCGTACCTGTACCCTGCAGCAGCGGGTCTCACCTGTTGCCGGTCATGGGAGCCTGCTTGAGCTCGGGCAGCGACTTTGCCTCCTCCACCTGAATGTTTGAATGTCCGCTGCTGGCAGCCGCTACCGCCGCTGCGATAACGGGGAGAGAAAAGGGAAGGGTAGGGAGAGAAAGGGTTCAGTGTTGGGGGGATTTGGCCCGTACCCTGGGCTCCTCCACCACCTTTGAATGACCGCTGCTGGCAGCCGCTAGTGCTGTGGTAGTGTTAGGTGCAAAGGTTGGACAGCTTCCAGGCAAGCGCAGGGCAGGGCGAGTGAACGAGGGACAGGAGATGAAGACAGTAGGGAGTGGTGCATTCAGATTCAGAAGGGTGCTTCACCTGAACGTAAAGATCAGCACCACAGCAGGCTGCAGGTCTCACCTTTCAGGTACACGGCCCTGTCGTAAGGCGGCAGGCACCACAGGCTGAACGTAACGTTGTCAATGGCGTACCTTTTGATAGCAGCCTACCTCACCTTTGAGGTAGAGGTCCTTATTCTTCACGGGCATATCAAGGTCAGCACCACAGCCATCAGCCATGAGAGTGACGTTGGTCAATAGCTCTGCCGTTTTCAGAACATCCTACCAGCCTCACCCTTCACCCGTGCGTGCCTCACCTTTGAGGTACAGGTCTTTGTCTTTCACCGGTACGTCAAAGACGGCACCGCAGCCGTCAGCAGTGAGAGTGATGCCGTTGATAGCGCGTGTTTGATCCGGCGTCAAGTGCTGCTCAAAGAAACGCAGCACGTAGCTGGAGAGGGGGGGAAGCAGGGGAACAGGGAGGTGGGACAGGGAGGAGAGAGGGAGAGTACAGTGGAAATTGATGTCGTTGCTGGCTTGGGCCTGGTCGGGTGTCAGTCAGGTGCTGTGGCGCTCAAAGAACGGCAGCATGTAGCTGGATTAGGGGGGCGAGGCGGGGGGAAGGAGGGGGGACAGGGGGCAGGGGAAGAGGGGAGGAGAGAGTGAGGGTGAGAGCAATTCAGATGGTGGCTCGCGTCTGGTCCGGCGTCGGATGCTGCTGTTAGAACCGCATCACGTAGCTGGAGAAGGGGGGGGGGGGGAGTGATGCGCTTTGAGGGAGGGATTACCGAATAGAATATAAGGTTGCAGTGTGCATGGGGAAGATGTTAGGCGTGGTTGCAAAGCACGACGTGGCACATGGTTACAGAGGCATGCGTGCTCACGAGGGGGAGTAGAAGGGCGAGGAGCAGCGCAGCAGCAGAGTGACCTGATCATTCTGGCTCAACAGCAGCGACCGCACCTTCAGCTCCGTATGGCCCTGTGGGATAGCAACACCATGCACCACGTGATGCCACATCAGGAGCAAGGAAGGCGCAGGAGAGAAGGCGTCAGGAGATGGCAGACTAGAAACGCGAGAGGGCACGGCGTGATACAGCTTGAGGGAGAAGGACACATGTGAGGGTCTTAGGCTGTGCCAATACCGTGGGATTGAATCAATAGCTGGTTGCCTTGCCACAGCAGGCAAGAGCTCCACTCACCGCAAGGCATGCGAGGGCTTTGGCCAGGGCAGCAACAGGGGAGAGGCCAGTTGACTGGATCAGGTCCTTGGCGGACTCCTCAAACAGCGGCACCACACTGCGGGATAGGCCGAGGGAGACAAGACAAGGTTGTCCGGTGCAGCGGCGGATAGAACAGCAGGCGGCAATGTTGGGTGCGAGGAGGTCGGGAGATAGAAAATGGAGGGAGGTAGGAAGGTACTACAGGGGCAGAGACGTCTCATAAACAGATTTGACACCAGCGAGCGACCCACACCCAAACACAAGATAGCCCCTCCCCTGCTACCCCCTCCCTCACCTGTCCCCTACGGCCTTGACTTTCGCTGTGACTGCAGCGGACGCCACTCTAACGAGGTCGGCGGGCTGGGGCGGGCTGACCCGCTCGAACTTGACCCCTGCTGTGTGCTCGATGTTGGCGACTATCCGCCCCGACCAGCGATCCGCCACCAGCACTGACACGCCCGTGTTGCCTGCACGCAGTGGAGGACATGCAGGCGCGCAGATGCAGTGACGCAACGCAAAGGAGAGGAGGTGAAACGAGGGAATTGTCCCAAACTATCATCACACATGACATGTGGGGGGGGGGGGGGGGGGGGGGGAAGGGGGAGGGAAGGGGGAGGGGAAGGGGGGAGGGGAGAAGGGGGGGTGGATTCCGCCTGTGTGATCTATTCCTGGGGCTTCCGGTCCTGTCACGGCAAATTTACTGCCGTACCTGCGCGCCCGGTTCGACCGGAGCGGTGGATGTAGGTCTCGACGGTGCGGGGCACCTGCGCCTGCAGCACGAGCTGCACGTCGCTGATGTCCAGCCCCCTTGCCGCCACGTCGGTTGCAACCAAGACTTGGAATTCGCCGTTCTTGAACGCGCGTAGCACCACCTGGGGAAGGAGGGGAGCAGAGCGAGCAGAGGTCTGAGCAGAGCCAGCAGAGGTCTGAGCAGAGCCAGCAGAGGTCTGAGCAGAGCCAGCAGAGGTCTGAGCAGAGCCAGCAGAGGTCTGAGCAGAGCCAGCAGAGGTCTGAGCAGAGCCAGCAGAGGTCTGAGCAGAGCCAGCAGAGGTCTGAGCAGAGCCAGCAGAGGTCTGAGCAGAGCCAGCAGAGGTCTGAGCAGAGCCAGCAGAGGTCTGAGCAGAGCCAGCAGAGGTCTGAGCAGAGCCAGCAGAGGTCTGGAAGCCAGAGCGCAGCAGAGGTCTGAGCAGAGCCGAGCAGAGGTCTGAGCAGAGCCAGCAGAGGTCTGAGCAGAGCCAGCAGAGGTCTGAGCAGAGCCAGCAGAGGTCTGAGCAGAGCCAGCAGAGGTCTGAGCAGAGCCAGCAGAGGTCTGAGCAGACAGAGCGACAGCCAGAGGTCTGAGCAGAGCCAGCAGAGGTCTGAGCAGAGCCAGCAGAGGTCTGAGCAGAGCCAGCAGAGGTCTGAGCAGAGCCAGCAGAGGTCTGAGCAGAGCCAGCGTCTGAGCAGAGCCAGCAGAGGTCTGAGCAGAGCCAGCAGAGGTCTGAGCAGAGCCAGCAGAGGTCTGAGCAGAGCCAGCAAGAGCACAGAGTCTGAGCAGAGCCAGCAGAGGTCTGAGCAGAGCCAGCAGAGGTCTGAGCAGAGCCAGCAGAGGTCTGAGCAGAGCCAGCAGAGGTCTGAGCAGAGCCAGCAGAGGTCTGAGCAGAGCCAGCAGAGGTCTGAGCAGAGCCAGCAGAGGTCTGAGCAGAGCCAGCAGAGGTCTGAGCAGAGCCAGCAGAGGTCTGAGCAGAGCCAGCAGAGGTCTGAGCAGAGCCAGCAGAGGTCTGAGCAGAGCCAGCAGAGGTCTGAGCACCCTAGAGACACCATGCGGGTGGGTGCGGCAGTTGGTCGGTCTGGCCATGCCCGGCCATGCCACGGAAGGGGAAACGATCTCGTCTCGTGATCACACATCTATCTCTGCTGCTGACTCACCTCGCGCTGCTGCTGCACCACGTCGCCGTGCAGCGCGCGCGCTCCCAGGTGCGCCAGGCCCTGCGCGTACTCCGACGCCGCGCTCTTGGTGTCCACGAATAGGATCACCTTGCCGCCGCTGGGGTTTGGGGGTGGGGGGGGGAGGAGATGAGCGGAGTGTCAATGATACACGGGGGCGCGCGGAAACATACATGAAGAGCGAGATGGAACGCCATGGAAAGCACGTGTGCGCCACGGAAAGCACGTGTGCGCCATGGAAAGCACGTGTGCGCCATGGAAAGCACGTGTGCGCCACGGAAAGCACGTGTGCGCCACGGAAAGCACGTGTGCGCCATGGAAAGCACGTGTGCGCCACGGAAAGCACGTGTGCGCCATGGAAAGCAGGTCTAGGACGGGGCGAACGGGGGCAGGGGAGGCAGAGAGGACGATACGCACGCATACATGCACGACCTGCACGACCTGCACGACCTGCACGACCTGCACGACCTGCACGACACTCATCACTCATGACAGGCGGGGGGGGGGGGAGGGGAGGGAGGGAGGAAGGGAGGGAGGGAGCGACTGACAGGCTGTAGGTGGCGATGACGTCAGCGACGAGTTGGAATCGCTGCTTGGTGTGGCACGGCATGAGCAGGTGGCGCACGCTCGTGCTCGCCTTCTGCCGCTCGCCGCCCACCAGATCCACAATGCGCTTGTCCTCCCTAAAGAACCGCTTCGATATCTGGTACAACGCGCGGGCGGGGGTGTGGGCGGAGGCAGGAAGCGGAGAGGCGAGTGCGCGGTGAGAATGGGAGGGGAAACGGAGGAGCAAACGGGTTTCTATATTCACCCGTGGGGTAAAGGGTTGGACAAAGACACTGGAGGAAAAGGGAGTGGAGAGACGGCGAGAAAGAGATAGCGTGCGACTGACCTTGTTGACCCACTCGGGCACGGTGGCGCTGAAGAGCAGCGTTTGCACCTTGGACTGGTCGTCCACCGACTCTGCGCGGCACAGGCAGCATGGCAACACGGCAACACGGCAACACGGCAGCCGTGCACGTCAGCACAACTGGTTTGCATTTTGCTGGAAAACCACGTACTGTAGTACCGCGGAAGAGAAAACAAGGAGCCGGACGGACGCCTGTTAAAGCATGGCATGTCGCTGTTGGAAACTCGCGCAAGATTTCCAGACTGGTGTTCGAACTGCTTCGACTCACGCAGGATGGTTTCGACGTCGTCGACGAAGCCCATGTCGAGCATCTCGTCCGCCTCGTCCAAAACCCTGAACCGCACCTCGTTCAGCTTCAGCGACCCCCGCTGCAGCAGATCCTGCCCGGGGGAGAAGGGGAGAGGAGGAGAGATAGCGATCGGCAGAACGCACAACGAGAACAGGAGATGAGCGGCGACGAACGCACGAAGCGACGGAAAACGACAAGTTGAACAGGAAGGGAGTCAGCGGATTGGAAACGAACGAAACGCGAGAATGAGGGGCTACGGGTGACTTGATGCCCCGGGGGGGGGGGTCAGGGTTTAAGGTACCTTGATACGTCCGGGCGTGCCGACGACGATATCGACACCGCGGAAGAGCGCGCGTTCCTGCGGGCCCATGGGCGCGCCGCCGTAAACGCACACCACGGACATGCCCGCCGCACGCCCGATGTACTCGAAGTCGTCGCCCACCTGCTTCGCCAGCTCGCGCGTCGGCGCCAGCACGATCACACTTGGTAACTTGCTGCGGTTCGCGAAGCCCGTCTTCGCGCCGCTCTCCTTGAGGATCTTGAGGCGCTCGACGATGGGCAGCACGAACGCGAGGGTTTTGCCCTGCCCCGTGCGCGCGCGCGCGATGATATCTGCGCCGTCCATCGCGATGTCGAATGTCTGCGCCTGGATGGGGAAGAGCGACGAGATCGACTTGCGGCGGAGCGCGGCTTTCACGGCCGGCGACAGACGGAAATTGTCGATGCTGTTGGGATCGTCCTCACGGTCCTCCTCCTCCTCCGCCGGCTCATCCGGACCGTCCGATGAACCCTCAACCTCGCCCGTGATCTCCGCTCCAGCTCCGTTAGCAGCCTCGTCTGAAGACGTTGACGCGTCGGCAGAGGCACCAGACTCCTCCTTCTCCGGCTCTTCCGCTGTCGCCTCCTGGTCCTTCGCCTTCTTCTGCTGCTTCTTCTTGGATTTCTTCGCCGAACCTTCCTCCGTTGCCGCGGATTCCCCCGCAGCCTTCTTCGACTTCTTCTTCGGGGAAGGTTCCTCCGCCGCCGGCTCCGTTGCAGCAGTCGAACCGCGCTTCCGCTTCGCGGGCGTATCGGCGTCCTTAGTTTTCTTCTTAGACTTCTTCGCCGAGCCTAATTCGGACGGAGTGGCTCCATTCTCGTCAGCAGCGACAGCTGCGAGGGCTTTAGACTTCTTGGCGCTGATGGGAGTCGCCACCTGCTGCTCGTCCGCGGCCATGGCCGTGGGACTCTTGGCCTTGGAATTCACGCCAGGCATAGTTTCCGAGATGAGCTTAAGACCAGGACACGGCAGGACTGAAGTAACGTGTCGATTACCGGACTAGACGGTCTAGATTTCAGGTCGGAGAGTTGTTCGGAGCACGAATTGACACTGCTTCCTGATGGAGGCGCGGTGTGGTAAAGACCTCCACTTACAAGTCCGGCCGCGAGGGCTGGACTTACAACAGCGGCAAGCCGCTGAGGGAAGAAAGGTAAAGCTTGAGTCCGGCCGCTAGGGCTCGACGTTTCTGGAAATCGAGCAGCGACGATGCTGCTGAGAGAGAGAGAGCTAAAGCCCTTGAAGCAAGGGCGTTGGAAAGAACTTCCATGGCCAGCAAGCCAGCTCCTTGTAGCAGCAGGTGGATGGGGCAGCAGATGTGGATGTGGGATAGGGAGGGGATTCGGCAGGTTGAGCACGGTACAGTCTGGTGCAGGTTGGGGATCAGACCTGAGAATGGTTGGTGAGAAAACGGGAACAAGTGAGCCCAGCTGGAGTTTGGCTGCAACGGGTTCCTTCCGTTATGTCCGGCGGGGCGACCGTCAATTGGACAATTTGGTGCAGCTGCCCTGGAAACTATGGAGAACGGCCAGTCATCGAATTTAGCGATTTGTCAATTGAATCGAGTCCGCTCGTGCGAGGTTATTGGGGACGAAGCAGATCCGATGCGCTCCACGTGTAGAAATTTCTTCGTTTTCGACCAAGTATCGCACGCTTGAGGCCTTTTCAGGCAGTGGAGAGACATCCTTTACCTTCCCGAATACAGTTCTTTGCTGTTCTGCATTTCTTCATGTCGCTACAGATTACTAGAGCTCGCAATCTCTGCGATCTAAGTCCTTTCTGTACAGAAAGTGGAAATATCATTTATCGGTGTAAGTCCCTCGCTATAACGGATTTGTCAGTCAAGAGGAGTTCCTCGTACTGTAGTCCCATACCCTCCGAGTCTTGTTGACATTGTCACCCCTCGGGTTCAGTTCCCTGGCACCCTGATCCTGCCGCCATGCCTTGACAGCTACATACTCTACTTGTTCGCTGACGCAGCCAAGGTAACTGTTGTTCAGCTCGCCTTGACAGAGAGGCTTTGTACTTCAACGCGTGGAGCATTCATCGTCGTCCTTCGCCGCGTGATGACTGGATAGTTCATAGGAATCTAAGATTCAAGCAGGTTTAGGTTTAGTCGACATTGATCAGAATGGGGAATTTCATGCCCTTGTCTTACCCTAGAAGTCGCGGACCACCGTATTCAGCATCTTAGTATTCTTAGAAATTCTCAGAATAGAAAACAATTCCCTGAATTCCTCAGTGTGTCCATCCGCCTGATTTATTCAACCTAAATACCCAAGAGGCCACAATGAGCACGGCCAGCAGCCGGCAGTTCTCCCGGCGGCAGTCCATAGATCCGCATTCCAGAACAAGCCAGTCAGCCGTTCATGGCGCCGTCAGGTCGAATCCCGCGATCCCCGCGCCGACGCCGAAGGCGCGGCCGGCGAACTACGGGTTCGGCGAGGACTCGATGATCGGGCAGGAGATCAAGCAGCTGGAGTCGGACTCGTTTAATGCGGACCAGTTCATGCAGGCCAAGTGCAAAGCCATGAGCGAGAAGGTGCGTCGCAGGCGAAATGCAAAGCCACTAGCGGAAACGTGCGTTGCGTAACAGGCGAAATGCGAAACCATGAGCGAGAATGTGTGGGTCGTATTTCCGGCTGCGTGGCTGCTTGGCTTTCACATTGTAGTATTTCCCTGTGAGATTTGAGGGATGGTTTGTTCATTCACGCATTTCTCATCCGCAGTCTTTGCGGAAGCTGTGTGCGGAGCTGGTGGATTTCAAGCGAGCGTCGGCAGAGGAGATGCGGAAGAGTGTTTACGCCAACTACAAGTCCTTTATACGGTACGGCAATGTTTGTGCTTAACATTGTAGTCGAAAGCGTCACGAGCTCAACCAAGCTGGTCTGAATTATTAATTTTCAAATGCACGAGCCCTTTCTGCACTTTATCGTTCCTCCTCCCTCCCGAACACTCCCCCCCCCCCACCCCTCTCCTCCCTCCCCGTCTGCCTCGTTTTCCGCGTGCCCCTATCAGCACGGCGAAGGAGATCTCGGAGCTGGAGGGCGAGCTGCGCAGCGTGCGCGCGCTGCTGACGACGCAGTCGACGCTCATCCACTCGCTCTCCGACCGCTCGCCCATCGTCCACTCCCACCTCGCCCACCCCGACCGCTCCGTCTACGAGGACGACAAGGAAGCTTCCTCCCAGGAGGCCAACCTGCTGCTAATCCCGGATAAGATGGCGATCTGCCTGGCGGAGAGGCGCATAGACGAGGCGCTGGACCTCCTAGCGAAGGGGGAGGATGCGGTGGTGATGTGCCGCGCGGGGCACCGGCCAGCCGTGAATAAAGACGCCCTGGAGACGCTCGACACGAGCCTAGCTGAGAAGCGCGCCGAGCTGGTAGAGCTCCTGGCAGGAATCACGCAGCAGCCGTCGGTTCGGCGGGCGGAGCTTCGGCACGCCGTGGCTGCGCTGGCGAGGCTCGGCGACCCGAAGCGGGCCCACACGTTGATGTTATCCTCCCACGGGGCTCAGGTGCAGGCAGCCGTGCAGCCGCTGCGGCCAGGGGGCGTATCCTATGGTGCTGCTTACACGGCGAAGATCTCACGGCTGGTGTTCTCCGCAATCCTGGCAGCAGCACAGGACTCGAAAGCGGTCTTCGGGGACACCCCCTCGTGTGCCTCGGAGCTGGTGCTGTGGGCGCATGGGGAAACGGAGTGGTGCGGGGATCTGCTCCAACAGTACGTGCTGACGTCAGCGGCGGCGGCTGGCGGGCTGCGATTGGCTGCGGAGTGCGTGCAGATCGCAGTGGGGCATTGTTCCTTGTTGGAGGACCATGGGTTGGCCATGGCGGCGGTGTTGATGCGGCTGGTGCGGCCGAACGTGGAGCGGGCGCTGGAGGCGAACATACGGCGGATAGAGGAGAGCGTGCAGGCCATGGCGGCGGGGGACGACTGGACGCTGCTGCCCGTGCCCTCCGCTCCCAGGAGCCCTGCTGCTAGGTTGCTGGCTGACGCGCCGGTGGCGAATTTCCGGCTTACTAGCAGCGCCTACCGGCTCTACTCCATGGTGCAGGTATGAGCAGCGCCTACCGGCTCTACTCCATGGTGCAGGTATGAGCAGCGCCTACCGGCTCTACTCCATGGTGCAGGTATGAGCAGCGCCTACCGGCTCTACTCCATGGTGCAGGTATGAGCAGCGCCTACCGGCTCTACTCCATGGTGCAGATATGAGCTGTGCCACCGATTGCTCCCGGTCTTATACCCTTCCTTTCCCTTCCCTTCCCCGCTTCCCCCTTGCTCATCCTCCCTCCTTCCTTCCCTTGAACCCTTGAACCCTGCCTTTTCCCCTTCTTTCATTCCCCCCATTCTTCCCCTTCCCCCTCTCCTCTTTCCCTCTCCCCTCCCATCCCCCATTCCACGTCCCTTGCTTCCTGCCACTTTCCCTTCTCTCCCCAGGCCTTTCTGGAGGACGTGATACCCATAGTGAACCTGCAGTGCAGCTCACCACCCCCACTCTAGTCGGCCTGGCCCACCTGTACTCGCAGTGATGACTCCTCCAACAACTGGGACCCCTCCGCTTAACGTGTGTCTCGGATTCTAAGATTCCAACATCCAACACTTTGCCCCTCTCATGTCTCTGCTCCCCCCGTGACCCTTCCCCAGGACTTTTTGGAAGATGTCATTCCAATCGTCAACCTGCAGCTGACCACGCCCACCCTAGACGGCCTGGCGCACCTGTACTCGCAGTACACAGCCATGCTCAACCGCGCCCGCACCCCCGACGACTCCTCCAACGACTGGGACCCCTCCGCCGCCGCCGCCGCCTTCGCCGCCGCTTCCAGCCAGGGGGGAGACGGTGGGGAGGGCGCGGACGGGGCAGAGGGGGAAGGCGCGGGATCCACAGGGATAGTCAACAAGGCCGTGACCGACCGGCAGCAGCTGGCGCTCATAGCCAACGCCGTCACTCTCGCTGAAGAGTTGCCAAGGCTGGCTGCGAGGTTGACGCAGCCTGTGGCGGGGCAGCGCGCGAGCAGGGAGCAGCGGAGGAGCTCGGGGGGCGAGGCGAAGCGGCAGCAGCTGCAGGCGTGGAAGAAGCAGCTGAGCGAGGGGGTTGAGAACCTGAGGATGGGGTTCTGCCTGCAGAAGGCCACGGAGCTGCTGTACCCAGATGCGTGCATGGAGGATGCCCTGCTGCCGCACCTCTACTTCCTCATGGACCAGGTGTGTGGTGTAGGGGATACTTGATGCTTAGTGTGTGAGGAATACAGCCAGGAGGATGTATGCTCCATGCCTTCCATGCCTTCCATGCCTTCCATGCCTTCCATGCCTGCCATGCCTTCCATGCCTGCCATGCCTTCCATGCCTGCCATGCCTTCCATGCCTTCCATGCCTTGCTGGAGAAGATTCCTCCTCGGTCCTCTCCCTCCACCCATATCCCCTATCCATCCCCGTTGTGCCCCCCACGCCATCAGGTAGAGTCAGACGCGTCTCTCTGGTTCAACGACGCCCAGCCCTCCGAAGCACTCAAGGTGAGCACCCTACTCAAGTACATCATGGCATGCCTTCTCGCATGCCTTCTCACATGGCTTCTCACATGGCTTCCCACATGCCTTCTCACATGGCTTCTCACATGGCTTCCCACATGGCTTCCCACATGGCTTCCCACATGCCTTAGGCTTCTCACGCACCGTCTCACATGCCCTATACACGCCATCTCCCATGCCTTGGGCTTCTCACATGCCCCATAAATGTCATCTGACATGCCCCAATTGTCATCTCACATGCCCCGTGAATGTAATCTCTCATGCTGTCATGCTTGCCCCATGCATCCACGGTCAAGAGAGGCAGGCTTGAAATGTCCTTCACAGGTTAAGTACAGATGCCTTGCTGCCCACCATGCCAGCCCTTACAACATGCTGCACTCATTGAGTCCATGCCACCCCTTCACCTGCCACGCCCCTCCATGCCATCCCCTTCCTGGCGCCGCATCCCTCCCATGCAGAATTTTCTCTTCACAACTCTCGCCATATCCGACGCAGCATCGGAGGTGCTGGCGGGGCGGGACCGCTTTGTGCTGCAGCTGCTGACGCAGTACGGGCTGGCGCTGCTCACGCTCATCTGCCACGACAAGGCGTGGGAGGACTCCCAGTTCTTCGTCGGCGCCACTGGCCTGCAGCAGGTGCGTGGGCCTGGCCTCTGTACTGCGATGTGTGCAGCAGGTGGGTGGGCCTGGCCTCTGTACTGCGATGTGTGCAGCAGGTGGGTGGGCCTTTGTTCTGGTTGAGACGCGCTGACAAGTCTGCAGTGAGCGCTGGTCCATCATATGACTCGTCTAGGTCTTCCATCCCCCCCCCCTCCTCACGCCCTCCCTTCTGTTCCTCATGGAATCTCGTTTCTCAAGGAGGGGGCAGCGCGTACCCCCGCACGTCCCCCGCTTGGCCTCATGCCCTCCCCCTCTCCCTCCCCCCCTCCTCAACCGTTCCCTCCTTCCAGTTCCTCATGGACATCTCGTTTCTCAAAGAGGTGGCGGCGCGCTACCACTTCACATCGCGGCAGCTGCAGCAGGTGGCTGACACCAGCATGGAGCGAGCCAGGGAGTCTTTCGACGTCAACCGGTGAGTGAGCGGGGCTATGTGCGATGGGGTGGGGGGTGGGGGGGGGGAGGGGAGGGAAGAGAGAGGCGTGGATGGCAGGTGGCTGACACTAGCATGGAGCACGCCTGGGAGTCATTCTATATCAACAGGTGAGAGGGCGATTGGAAAGTGGGAGATTGGGAAATGGAACAAGGGGTGGGGGTGGGGTGGATGTGCGCTGCGGTGCTTGTGTTTGTGGTGTCCACTGCTTGTTTTCACTCTCTCCTCTCCCTATCCATGCAAACTCGTTTGACCATTCAATGCAGGGAGTGTCCTGGGGATGACAAATTTAGGGAGTTGGCTCAACAAGCAATTGAAAGGCACCTCATTGACAAAGGCTATCTATAACCACATGAATCAATGCAACTTGAGCAGTGGTACAGTGCAACGTGTTTCTTGAACCTTATAGGACGTTGAGAATGATGCTTAGGTGAAATCAAGTAGTTAAGCCCATATGCAGCTTTCTCACATTCATTTGTCTTAGCGTACTCTGTACCAAGAATATGCGATGCGTAACAAGCAGTGCAGCTGTACAGAAGAATTGATCTCCGATGTGTCGGAAAGTTGAGCAATCCTCCCCAGGGATCTCCTTGTTTCCCGCACTCTTTACGTGGCGCCTACAAATATCTCCACGAGCCAATCAGCTTGTTCTTGTGCGCCCGGCCCGCCCACTCAGTTCCCCTTTTCCGCCATCCCTTCCGCGTAAGCTCCCGCGGCTCTCACGTTCCGCCGCGCGCTTTTGAGTAGAGCTGACCAAAAAGCGCCTTCACTCAAACAGCACGAGGGCTGTCCGCCTTGGAGTCTGCTGAGCACCGAGTCTCACTCAACTCCATTCCTCCGTCATCCCGCCTGCTTCCCTCTGCTTCTCTCCTGTGCCGCTTCTCCCAGGCGCCTATCGCGTCTTACCCCTAGATCCAGTGTTGATTGAGAGATGGCGTCCGCGGTCGTCGTAGCTCCCTCAATTGGCGGCCTCGCGTCATCACGTGCCGCTGCGACTGTGTCTCCCGCGTCACATTGCGTGCGACGGCATGCGACGGCAACACTGTCGCATCCGCTTCGCACACGCGGCATTCGGGGGCTGCGATCGGACAGCTTCAGGGGCAAGTCGACGAGAGCAGCGGCGAGCAGCCAATCAGCGTTCTCCGTCCAATGCAACCTCGTGGTGCGCGCTGAGTGCTCCCCTTTTAACACGCGCATCCCCCGCTCGACACGCGCATTCCCCACTCGACGCGCACATCCCCCGCTCGTGTCAATTCTCATTTTTCATCCTTTTTTTTAAGACGTCTCAACAACAAATCTCAAGTTCCTCCTGTCCGCTCGGCAAGTCCCTTCGTCTCTAACCGCGCGTCCCCACCTTTGCTCTCGTCAGCGCAAGGTGAGCGGGAAGGAGCTGGACGCGCTGCTGTCGGGGTAGTTTTGGCTCCTCGCTCCCCCCGCCTCACCCCCCCCCCCCCCCCTCCCCCGCGCCCCGTCCCCCGTCCCCCGTTCCCCGCCCCCCGACCCCTACGGGCAGCGCAAGGTGAGCGGGAAGGAGCTGGACGAGCTGTTGTCGGGGGATCGGCCGCTGCCCATGGTGATCGACTTCTACGCCACGTGGTGCGGCCCGTGCATCCTGCTCGCGCAGGAGCTGGAGCAGGTGAGAGGCCCAATTGTGGTTGGGTGGTGGGAGGTCGAGTTGTGCCTGTTACATGCTGTCGGGGGATTGGGCTGGTGGGATGGCCGCTGCCCATGGTGATCGACTTCTACGCCACGTGGTGCGGCCCGTGCATCCTGCTGGCGCAAGAATTGGAGCAGTTGAAAGGCCAGATGCTGTCAGGTGCCGTCAGGTGCCGTCAGGTGCTGTCAGGTGCCGTCAGGTGCCGTCAGGTGACTGTAACCGCGGACGCCTGATTGCCACGCCTCGTCGTGTGGCGCATGCATGTGCGGATCATCTTCATCCCTCACTGCTCCCTTCGTTTCCTCATCCCTCCTACCCGTGGCGAGGTGCTGTTCCTCATGTCTCTCATGCCCCTTAATACCCCCATTCCCCCCATTGCCCCCATTGCCCCCATTCCCTTATTGCCCCCATTCCCCCCATTCCCCCCATTGCCCCCATTCCCCCCATTCCCCCCATTGCCCCCATTCCCCCATTCCCCCCATTCCCCCATTCCCCCATTCCCCCCATTCCCCCCATTCCCCCCATTCCCCCCATTCCCCCCATTCCCATTCCCCCCATTACCCCCGTTCCCCCCATTCCCCCCATTCCCCCCGTTGCCCCCATTGCCCCCATTGCCCCCATTACCCCCGTTCCCCCCATTCCCCCCATTGCCCCCATTGCCCCAAGCCGTCCTGTGCAGCTGGTGGTGGAGTGCCATGGCAACGTGCTGTTTCCCATGCCTCTCATGCCTCTCATGCCTCTCATGCCTCTCATGCCTCTCATGCCTCTGATGCCCCTTTTTACCCCCATTCCCCCAATTGCCCTCACCGACCCCCGTGGCCTGGCGCGTGCAGCTGGCGGTGGAGTACCATGGCGAGGTGCTGTTCCTCAAGGTGGACACGGACGAGGAGTACGAGCTCGCCAACCAGCTCGAGGTGCCTTGGCCCCCTCACACATGCACCCATGCACTCATGCTCTCTTGCACCCATGCATACATGCACTCATGCACTCGTGCACTCATGCACACATGCCTACATATGCATCCATCTGCACACGTGCACACACACGTCCGCACACACACATGCATGTGCCTTGTCCCTATATTTCAGCATGTCATGTCTACTCTTCTATGACTTCCCTCCCGTTTTCACACTCGCTCCTTAACCTTGCACACTCATGCACTCGCACACACCCTCACTCCTCGCAAGCGCCCTTGTTATGCACACACTCCTTCTATGCCGCCCACATCCCACCACTCATCAGATTCGTGGGCTGCCCACAGTGGTGTTCGTCAGCAAGGATAAGTCAAAGCTTGCCGTGCGGACAGAGGGGCTGCTACCCATTCCCTCTATAAAGCAGCTCATTGAGGAGATGTAGAAGCATTCGCTGTCTCAAAAAGTTGACATTAGTTAGAATTATTCTTGTACCCGTAGTTGCAACACTGCATTCGCCTACGAAGATCGGATTGAAAACTGATGGGCAACGAAGAAGAGGGCCGCCGACAAACAGCAGCGTGCAGTGAAACATCACCATTCAAACCAACCAAACCCAGCCATACGAAGGCCCACTCTGCTTGCAGCAGAAAGAACCGACTGACTGCTAGCCAAGTGTGCAGCACATGCTCTCTAATCTGCTCTGTTTGCCCAACTCCTAAAAATCTCGAAGTACATCTAAAACAGCCTCTCCCTAGAGTCACCTCTCCATCTGCTGCGTCTGCTGCAGGTGCGCCAGGTGCCTGGCTGTTTCCTCCGGTAGTCTGTCCACTGTGGGGTGCGTTGGCCCCGCCACCAGCTCCAAGTCAAACTCGCGGCTCTCCCGGTACTCCTGCATCCACTCCACACACGGTGGTGAGAGGGCAAGAGGGAGATACTGCGCATCTGGACACACAAACGGCACGGCTCATGACGTACCGTAGTTGATATGCACACAGCAAGACAGACGATATTTGAGGCGCCAAAAAAGCAGCTGGGCATACCGTACAACAGGTAGGCGACATCCAACTGGGTGTGGGTACGAAGAACCACATGGGCAGACATTACAGGTGCACCACACATGGCATGACATGGGTAACGGCCTGACATGCCAATGCACTCCAACACCACATACCATACCGCTTAAGCAATGCACTCCAACACCACATACCATGCCACTTAAATACGTCCATAGGCTCATTGCCTTCCCAGACACAAAGCAGCAGTGCTACCTGACAAAGCGCGCACGGGTGGCAGCAGCAATGGGCGGCAAAGTCGTCCATGGGTCGTTCCCGGAGCCCCTTCTTGTGGCGCAGCTGTCGTCGCATGGTGGACGCGTAGCACGGGACACACGTCAGCCAGTAGGCCAAGGGGCCTAGAATCAAGGAAAGGGGTGCGCCCCAGCACCCTCCTACAAGGCAGTAGGTGGCGAACGCCCTGGGAGGGGAGCAAGGGAATGGGAAAGGGGAGGACGCGTAGCACGGCACACACGTCAGCCAGTAGGCAAAGGGGTCAAGGACCAAAGAGGGGGTGCACCCCAGCAGCCACCACAAGGCAGTAGATTGGAAAGGCCGTGAAAAGGGGAGATAAAGGAGGAGCAAAGGAGGGGCACGTAGCATGTCGCGCACGTCAGCCAGGAGGCAATGGGGCCCACGATTAGAGACAGGGGTGTGCCCTAGCACCCTCCCACGAGGCATAAGAGGCGCATGCCCCTAAGAAAGGGCGGAGGTAAAGGGAGGGGTGGTGGAGGTGCCGAAAATCTGGTTCTTTGAGCAATAGAGCTGCTGTTCCGGAGCAGCATGTAAAGAAATGGGTTCTCTCTGGACGACTGTTTTTTAGTCTTGACTCAAAGCGGTTCTGCCACAACGATTCAGCGCCACCTGAACGAGTTGCTTGAAGGACGACGCGACTCGGAATTACCTCGAGAACTGCAAGCGGCCGTCGGTGATCTTCCTTGCCGTCTGCGCGAAGAGGTAGCACGGCAGGCAGCACCCGAGCACGGCGGCGCGGGGATCCCGGAGGAAGTCCTTCAGCCCCGAGTTCCACTCGCCCTTGCCGCGCCACCGGTGCCGCCACGACTGCGGCTGCTCGAACGGCCGCTCGCACGCCTCCGGGTCCGACTCGGGGTCACGCGAATGGCCCTCGCCGCCACTTGCTGCTCCGCCCTCGCCGACGCCCGCTGCTCCGCCCTCGCCACCTCCCGCGTCTCTTCCGCGTCGTCCTCCTTCCTCCGCCATTCCCGATTCCTAGAACTAGTACGGCGTTCGGAATCAGGCTCGGTCTCTGCCGTGTGGCCCCCATCTTGACGCCTTGGTCGCGCCAGCCATGCTGCCGCCATGTCGTCGCGAAAGCGGCGCCCGGGTGCCCTAGTATAACTCGAATCCGAATCCGTCGTCAAGCCGGGCCAACGAAAGCAAGACATTATGCTAGTCTCCGCGGTCGTTGGTGATTTGGTCTCGTCAGGCATTGGTGACGTGGCGCGAGACGAGGCATGGTGAGCGTTAGGAGCCGCTCCGTCAAGAATTGCCGAATTCCAGCTGGCACGGGATTGGCAGGTATTATCGCAAAAAAAATTGCGGAGTTGGGCACATTGTGACCTTTAAAACAGCGAAGGATTACCAGATCGTTGGGAACTGTTCCTGCTGGCGAAGTCTCGCGAAGTAGCTGAAGACTAGGTGCGATTCTCGTTAAGTGAAATAACGGCTGTACGCGCATAGCCTTGCAAGCAGCTATCACAGGTACATTCTATGCATCACACGTTAGAAAGAGCCTGTATTTAATGTGCTTTGTTGCCTAGAGAAGCAATGCTAAAACTGCTTCGTTCACTCCAGCTCACGAAGGAAATCCTGGTTGTCAACAAAGACCTGCAATGAGAAGAATATGGGCACAAAATCGTCACAAAATGCGTATTACACAAATAGTTCACAACACATGCTAAAAAATCACCCATCCTCACTGATTTGTAGCCATCGGGGTCGAGGCACGCCACGATCTTGGTGTTGATGCCGGGGATCGGCCCTGGCTCTCGAGTGATCTTGCCGCCAGCCGCTCGAATGGCCTCTGCTGTCTTGTACACATCGTCTGTCCCTATCGCAATCTGAAATAGAAGGGAAAGTAATGGCGGTTGACAGTGGTGAATAGGGAAAGGGGAGGGTACTATAGAGAGAGGGGTGGTGCAAAGACGAGGAGGCCGATGAGGGAGATAGGTAGTAGTGGGGGAAGCACATGGCCAGAAATAACTCATTTGGTCGGCCAGTCCGCAGAGCTCAACAAGGGACAAAAGCAGGGAGAACCAGCAGTACCTGAGAAAGCACATGAAGAGTTGAGAGGGCAGGTAGTACCTGGGCGTAGGCGTTGCCCTTCTCATATGACTCGACCCCATAGTTGTAGGTCAGCTCAACCACCGCGCTCTCCTCCTCCGGCCCGTACCCCACCATGGCTATTGTGTACTGCGGAAGAGAAGGAGGCCGGGGAAGGGGGGATACATCAACAAGGGGGGGTTGGTTGGGTTGGGGAGGAGGGGAGGAAGGGGGGGGGGGGAGAACCTCAAAATCACCACCGCACCGCACACTCCTCCTCTGGCCCGTACCCCACCATGGCTATGGTGTACGGGGGAGAGAGGGAGGCAAAGGGAAAAAGGGGAATCATCAACAAGAGGAGGAACGTTTGCGGTGGGGTTGAGGGTGGGGGCAGGTGGGCTGAGGGGGGGAGGGGGAGGGGGGGGTGGCGGGCGGTTGGCTCCACCAGTGAACTCTCCTCAGGCCCGTACGCCACCATGGCTATGGTGCACTGGGGGCAGAGGGATGGGGGGGAAGGGTAGATACACAAACAACGAGGGGGAGAGTGAGTTTGCGGTGGGGGTGGGGGGGGGGGGGGGCCAGGTGGTCAGAACCACCACTGCACTCTCCACCTCTGGCCTGTACCCACCCACCGTGGCTATCACGTAATGGGGGAAACACAGGACGGCGACGGGTTGACGCAGCAACAGGATGGGTGGGGCGGGGGGGGGTGGGGGTGGGGGTGGGGGGGGTTGGGGGGGTAGGTCAGTCGGTCACTCATGAAAGGCGCAGCGGGGGGAAGGGAAGGAGCAGCTCTCAGAGAACGCTCACGAGAGCTTTCTAAAGGAACAAACGGAGGCGGTTGCAACGGCAGGGTGAGACGAGCATGCGTACCTTGTAGTGCGGGTTGTCTCGTGTCCTCAGCAGCTTCATGCCATACGCCTGCACGCACGGATGGTGAAGGCCAAGCACGAGGAGAGAGTGGGTGAGGGGAAAGCGGGCATATTCTCTCACCAAGAAGCAGGTGGCGGGTGGCGGTCAATGAATGAAGGATGATGCAGCTGCCGAAGCACTGAAGGGTAGAGTTCAATACTTACATGGCAGCATACAGCGTATGCTTTCATGGTGGGGAATTATGCATCTGTGTTGGCACACACCTTCTCATAGAACTTGATTGCTCGGTCAAGATCCCCCACACGCAGCATGACCTGCATGGTGCCATGATGATACACATGGCACGATGATGGTACACGTGGCACGATCATACACACTATCAGGCAGGTAGACTCATGAACCTTGGAAGCACAGTCGCATGAAAAGAAGAACGAAAAAAACACCCATCGAGCAACGTCTGGATTTGTTGCTGGCATTGTTTGTGATTGGGGTTGCTAATCGGCAAACAAGCCACACATTACAACTTCACATCATAATCAAACCTGCAAGCACATTGAAATATGGCAGTAGAGCCACACCTGGCAGAGTGGCTCGGGAGTGGGCGGCCGTTGAATGATCTCCCACTTGTACCCAGCAGGGTCCTGTGGGTGGGGGACGGCAGAAGAAGCGGAGGAGACGAGTGGAAAAGGGAACGTGAATGGGGGGAGATGAAAGGAGCGTCAAAAGTACCACTTGAGGGCTGACAATGGGTTCAGAAAATGCATCACAAGAATCGCTTGCAACACATGGTCATAATGATGTGCATGGAAAGCCGTTCCGCGCCCTTGCTGTCTTCACCCTGGTAGCAGACTGCCATGACCACAGCCACCCTTGCCTATCCTCTGCCTCTCTTTCGCCCCCCTGCTCACCTCCACGAACGCGATAACGCTCTTGCCGCCCTTCACTGGCCCTGCCTCCCGTGTCACCTTGCCTCCTCGCGATTTCACCAGCTCTACCGTCTTGTACACCTGGGGGGGCAGGGAGGAGTCACAGGAGGGAGACGGAGGAGGAGGAGGAGGGGGTTGGGTTGGGTGGAGAGACACCATGAGAGACCATAAGAGACCATAAGAGACCATAAGAGACCATAAGAGACCATAAGAGACCATAAGAGACCATAAGAGACCATGAGAGACCCGCACTTTCACCAGCTCTACCGTCTTGTGCACCCATGAAAGAGGGGTGTGAAAGAGTGGGCCAAGAATGCACTAGAAACTGAAAAATGAAGGCGGAAAGAAACAGGCGGAATAGAACATCCAGGCCCATGCCTCACATCGTCAACGGAGATGCCGAAGTGGCCAAAGCCCGCTCCAATGTCGTACTTGTCCACGCCATAGTCTGCCGCCCGGGGGGAATAACAGCGAGGGGCAAACCAAACCACAACACACGGGTCTTTGAGTTCTGGCCTGAGCTCTCAGAAGACTCATTCAACCAAGGAGGCGTTCTCACACGTCTGCTCAGACACATCTGAGACAGTAGAAATGGGATTCTTGTGTCTCGTCCACGTAGGCCCCCTGTGTCACTCACTGTAGGTGAGCTCCACAACGAAGCAGGAGGTCTCAGGGCCGTAGCCGAGGAAGGCGTTGGAGTACTTCTCCTCGGGAATGTCGCGCTGCCGCAGCACCTTCATGCCCAGACACTCCGTGTAGAACCTGCCGCCAGGCACAGCACAGCACAGCAAAGCACAGCACCGCACAGCACAGCACAGCACAGCACAGCACAGCACAGCACCGCACAGCACAGCACAGCACAGCACAGCACAGCACAGCACCGCACAGCGCCGCACAGCACAGCACAGCACAGCACAACACAGCACCGCACAGCACAGCACAGCATGGCACGGCACCGCACAGCACCGCACAGCACAGCACAGCACCGCACAGCACAGCACAGCACAGCACAGCACAGCACAGCACAGCACAGCATGCAGGGAACCGGTCAGTGAGAGCAGAGGCAACCCAACATAGTCGCGCCTCCGCAGCACCTTCACGCCCAGACACTCTCTGTAGAACCTGCTCCCAGGGAGCACAGCACGAAGGGTACTGGTCAGTGAGAGCAAGCAAACATTCACGGCAGTTGGCGAGCGGTGCGCGGCCGAGCATGCACACCCGAGACAGCCTGACATACGCGCAAGATTCTTTAACACAAAACGCCTGTCGCCTTCTACCTATCATCCCTGCCCCACAATCGGAATCTCCAGTCATGGCTCGGTCGGAATCTCGCAGTCCTCCTCTCCCGCCAAGGCACCTCACGTACTATAGAGCACATCCAGCTTCCGCGTGCGACAGGCGACGTGTCATGATGCGATGATGAGCGACGTGCGACTCACTTAATAGCGGCTTCCAGGTCCCCCACGCGGTAGACGACGTGCAGCATGCGACGGTTGTCGCGAGCCACGAATTTCGCGAGCTCCTCCTCGCCGCTCGCCGTCGCCGCTGCGCCGTCCGATGCTGCTGACGCCATGGTCACCCGCGATCGAGTCGCCCTCGCGGTCAGCCGAAAATCAGGGAGAGAAGGCGAGGCGCGGTTGACGCACTGAGCAGAAAAGGATTTACCTCTGCAAGTTATTAGGGAGTAACGAGCCTGTGAGTCAATGTAACAGCAGCATAAGGCGGAAATGGAGTACCGTGTACGGACAACGAGAAACAGGACTACCCGCCTCACACGATCGTTTGACGCACGCCGTTGAATGCACTGGCGCCGTTGGATAGACTGCGCGCTCGGCTAAAGACAGCGATGCGGGACGTCAGAGGCGAGGCGAGAGCTGCTGCCATGGCAGTTCAGGAACCTGCTAGCGGCGGAAATAGCTAGCCTCAGGAGGAGCTAGCAGATTGTGATTCAAAACAGAATTCAGTCATTGAATTTGGAATTTGGGTCGCGCGGGGGGGGAGCTGAAGGAGTGGCGGAAAGGGGAGCGCGGGGGGAAGGAAGGGGGAGGTGGGGAGGGGGAAGGGGGAGGTGTGGGTGGGGCAAGACAGATGGACGCGTGGCATCACGATTCACGAGATACAGAACGAGGACTATCCGATATGAAACATTAGAGGCTTATTAGACAAAACATAGGCTTTGTCTGTTATACGCTAAACTACAAAGACCTACCAGCGAGCTTGCACACATGTTGCGCTCATCTTTCTAGTTATAAACGCCACATCTTATGGCTTATTGGGGAATCACTGGGGCGAAGTATTTTGTGAAGATGGGGTCGTGGGCGCAGTGTTGCAGCAACACGTGGTAGACCTCCAGCAACAGATGAGGGAACCGATCTCGGAAGTATCTCTCAAAGCCCTCGGGGAGTGAACCCAAACGCTCCTGCAGACATGAACACACGCGAACACTGGTTAGTGAGAATTTCTATAGACATTGCACCAAGACCACCAAGATACAAACAACACATTGCAGCAAAACCTAAGATATATCAGGCATACAGAAATCAGCACACTGAGTCTCCCTTTCGTACCTGCAGCTCGGGCGGCAGTTCCCGGTAGTGATTGCACTTATTCCGTATCACACGCAGCAGATCCCGCACACTATGGAAGTTATACCTCCTGTACTTCCCCAGGTTCCCCAGGAGCGCCCCATCCACCCGCTCATTCCACCCCCCTCCCCTCTCCCCGGGCGCCCTGCTGATCCCCCCCTTGCCCGCTATGGCCCGGGGCGCTGCTGCTTCTAGGGCGTCCAGGAGCGGCGAGTGCTGCTCCCTGTCCTCGCCCTCTACTCTGTCACTGGCATCTCGCAGGAAGGCCAGTCGCTGCTCTGCTGGCCAGAAGAAGGGGTGCCTCCGCACCTGGTGCGCTGGGGGCCTGGAGAGGAGGGAGGGGGGAAGGGCGGATGGGCGATTTGGAAGAGGGAGGGAAAGATGAGTGGATGGAAGATGCAGGGAGGCACAGTGCTGTATGGTGCAGCCCTCACGCCGTTCCACTTTCCAACAACGACCAGCAGTTTGGCAAGCCGCCCAAAACACACAAGACACTTCCCAAACAGGTTGATGCTTTGGCTCAGGCTGTCTTACCTTTTCTCGGGGTCCCTGTCAAGCAGAGCTGCAACGAGATCCACAGCCTCCGGCACGTGGTCGATGGGAAAAAGATCCCCCTTCCCTGCCAGCACATTGGCGTCGCGCTCAAACCACTCCCCAAATGGGTGGCTGCCGCCGCTCACACAGAAGAACATGAGGCACCCGAAGGCAAACATGTCCACCGACTTGGTCAGCCGGGACCCATCCTCCAGCTGTTCCGGCGCCTGCCACCCGCTGCTGCCCGACCCCGCTGTCATCGTGTCAAAGGAGCTCGCCCCGTCGCCCAGCCTCTTGCTTATCCCCATGTCTGAGAGTTTCCCTCGCATCCGAACCTCCAGAAAAGGTATGGCCCGAGCCATGGCAGCTGCTGCTGTGGCGGCCGAGGCGGCTGATGCTGTGACTGCTGCTGCAGCTGTGACGGTGGGAGTTCCAGAGTCTGCTGCCGCTGCTGCTAATGCTGCTGCTAATCCTGCTGCTGATCCTGCTGCTGCTGCTAATCCTGCTGCTGATCCTGCTGCTGCTGCATCTCCTCCTGCTGTTGATGGCACAGCAGGAGACCCAACGTCCTCACCCGGCGTTACCCCAACCATATTCCCATTCACCACTGCTTGCGCCTTTGAGCGGGACTGCCCGCGTTGCCGGTGTCTGCTGTGCTGACTGTGGCGGCTGGGCAGCAGCAGGGAGATGAGCACGTTGTGCGGCTTCAAGTCCCGGTGCACAATTCTCTGATCGTGCAGATAAGCAAGCCCACTAGCAATGTCTCTCAATAGCCCCACCAGCTGCTGGGTCGGCTGGCCCTTGTCGTCCCACAGACACAGCGCTTGCAGGCCCACGCCCTGGGAGGAGCAGTAGGCTTGCACCCGCTCCAGCGCTGCTGATATGATTTCCCTCTCGGCTGACGAGGAGGGCGAGAGGCGGAGCGAGAGCGAGGGGGTTTTGAGTTGCAGAGGGGGGTCAGAGGAAGGGAGCGTGGAGGAGGAGGAGGAGGAGGAGGAGGAGGAGGAGGAGGAAGAGGAGAGAGAGGAGGCAGTGGTGGATGTGGAGGAGTGGAAGGGACTGGTGGGCTTGCTGTTGGAGGAAGCTGAGGAGGTGGAGGAGGAGGAGGAGGTGAAAGGCCCAGCAGCATCTGCACTACTGGCAACACTTCCACTACCACCACCAGCACCAGCACCAGCTGCAGCTGCTGCAGCGGCAGCCAGGTTAGCCCGGCACGCCAGCACCAGGTCCGTGAGGTTGAACGCGCACCTTTCCAGTGCGACATACACAAATGACTCATCTTCCTCCATGGCGAAGCACCGCACCACGTTGGGATGCTCGTCAGTCGCTATCAGTGCCGCTATCTCCTGCCTTGCCCGCTCGTAGAACTGCGACAGCAGCCGCTTCACCGCCACCTGCCGCCCCTCCAACCTCCCCTCCAGCACCAGCGTGCCGTGGCTGCCGTGGCCTATCACCCGGCGGCTCACAAACATCCGGCCCACCCACCGCCCCTCTTCTCGCTCCTCCGCGTCCTCCTCCCCCTCGTCCTCACTTGCTGTGTCGCCTTCAGCCCTGCTCCCCCCCATGCCCTCCCCTGGACCTTCAGCGTCCCTGCTGCCTCGCCTGGAGATCACCTTGCCAGCACTGCCCTGCCTGCTGCCACTGCCCAGCTTGCCCACACTACCTAGCAATCTGCTGAGTCTCCCTGTTCCAGCTTCACCCCCTGCTGCCTCCTCGCCCACCTCTTCCCCTGTGCTCTCCCGTCCAGCTGTCACAACCCCATTGGCCAGCTCATCTCTCTCTTCTGCTCGTGACCCACCTTCTCCTCCTGCTCCTGCTGCTTCGGCTGCTGCTGCTCCTTCCGACCCCTTCTTTTTCCTAGACGTCCCCTGCCTGCCTCGTTTCCTGCTGCCGCCACTTCCCACACCTAGACTCTCAACCGCCCACTCTTGTAAGGAAGCCGGCAGCAGGGCCACCACCACCCGGGCAACCCAGGACAGCCCATCCTCGTTAGTAGCCCCTCCTCTATACGCCCCCCTGCCACTCTGCACACCATTTGCCAGGGAGCCAGGCCTGGGAGGGTGAGAGGAGGAGACCTGTCGCTGTTGCTGCTTCTGCCTTTGATTTCTTGACGGAGTGCCACGGGCAGAAGCAGCAGCACCAGACGAGGAGGAAGAGGAGGAGGGGGAGGAGTAAGAGAATACCGAAGCACCGGCAACGATCCCAGCCAGAGTGGCAGCTGCGGCAGCCAGTATACCAAACGAGGACATCAGGTTCGGCGGGGTGGGAGGGGCCTGCGGCCCTACAGCCGGCTCCATGTCCTTAGGGGGGCCTAGGCGCCGGTTCTTCTCCCCTCTGCCTCCACCTAGCTCCACATCCGCGTTATAAGCAGCAGCAGCACCAGGAGTGTCAGCAGCGCCACTGCCACGCCCCCACAAGCTGATCATGCCGCTCCAGCCCAGCGAATCCCCTCCATCCATGCCACTCGTATCCCTGTGTGTCGCCATGGGACTCGGAGCTCGCGCCTGCTCCTGCTGACTACTGTACTGCTGACGCTGCTCCTGCTGTCGTTCCTGCTTTCCTGAACGACCCTGAAATTCGTTCCAGGAGCCTCGCTCTCTACTGTTGACGCCTTCTTCCACAACAGGGGCGTCGGCGCAGCCCATGTCGTCATAGAGAGCAGCAGTTGTACCCGGTGCTCTCACCATGATCGGGTACAAGGAATTATCCCCAGCACCACCACCTGCAGCAGCAGCGCCACCATCAGAGCCACTACCACGACCACCCGTTCCTTCAGTTCCTCGTGCCCTTGGTATCCTGGGAGGCTCTGTGACGGTGAACTTGCCCGCCTTACCAGCCAGGACGCCCCCCGCCCCACCACCAGCAGCAGACAGACCAGCAGACGCAGCAGCGCCAGAGGAGGACGGGAGGAGGGGGAGAGCGGCAGCATCATCTGTGATGCTGGGAGTGACGAGGGCGAAGGGACTGCCTGCCACGCGGCCCACGTACAGCACCTGCCCCGGGCCTATGTCCCTGGAGGACTCGCGGGACACGAACTCTTGTACCAGCCTGCCCGAGGGCGTGAAGGCTGCCAGCGGGGCAGATGAAAAGGTTGTTTGCCAGGTTTGCTGTCCTGTTTGCGGGTTGGTCAGCTGGATGGAGTAGAGATCGGAATGCCCCTCTTCAGATGGGTCTATACTCGTAGTTGCTGCAGCGGTTAACCCTGTGTGGAATCCTGATTTTCCTGGAGCTCCTGCCTCTTCCCTATCCTCTTTTCCTTGTCCTCCCACCCCAATACCCAACTCACTATCTGGCTCTGTATTCTCTCCAGGAACGCTGGACGGCAAGAGTCGTCCTTTTGCCAGTGCCAAAGCAGCAGCAGCGCTTCGTACCCCGCTCCCTTGCCTATCGAAAACCCCTCTCCCTGTAAGATCCATGGCCGATTTCCCCCCTCCACCTCCTCTTCCCCCCCCCAGCACTTCCCCCAAAACTCCCGCGATCGCTCCTCCACCCCCCACACCGCCCCCCACGCCCCCCGCCAAGCCCAGCACAGCCCCGTTGACGGGGCTCAGCTCGCCGAAGCTCACGTTCCACCGCTGCTTGCCGGACCTGAGCCCCACCGCCCGAACCACATAGTCGGTTCGGAGCACCAGGAGGGAGGAGGCGAGCAGGCGATCACACTCCGCCTTCCGCCGTGTGTCTGCTGGCTTCGCCTGGGCCTTGCCACTGCGCCTATTGTCCATGTCCCCCTGAGGTGTCCCTACACCTGTCTCGCCCTCCCTCCCACTGCTGTCTAGCAGCCCATTTCCACCAGCTCCCATGCCTCCTCCCCCCCTCTCCTCTTCCGCCTCTTCCGCCATCCTTAAGCACTCCGCCAGTGGGCCGTCCATCTGCTCGCTCCCATCGTTACCTGCTGCAGAAACGGACAAGCCGTTGCCGCCCGGAGCAGCGAGGGGGTCAAAGGAGCGGAGCACGGCGCCTGTGACTGGGTCGAGCAGAAAGGCCGTTGATTTCTGCGATCCAACGATCACGGTGGAGCCGTCGCGGGTGACTGAAGGGGAGGCGGACACGAGCTCCTTGGCCGTTATGGGCAGCTCCTGGGGGTGCGGGGGGGGGGGGGGGAAAGGGGAGGGGGGGGGAATGAGATTCAAGGAGGGGGAAGGGGGGGGACGGGAGAGTAGTGGTGAGATTTGCAGCAGTAAAAAAAGGAGGGTGCAGCGGGAAGGGGAAAGATAACTGAGGTCCTTGGCCGTTATTGCTGGCTCCTGGAGGGGGAAGGGAAGGTGTCGTGGTAGGGTGGGTGGAAGGAGAGCTGTGACGCAATGCGACAGGCTTGGATTAAAAACAGACAACACACACATGCGTACGCACATTCCACATCACACGCATATACACTTGCGCTCCAAGCATGTACAAATTGCCTCCAAGAATGCACACATTCCGTGTACCTGCAAGCCAACTCCTTCTTTGTACGAGTAGAGTCGGCCATTCACCCCCGGAATGACCATCTCCTTGCTCCCCCCGCTCCCCCTCCCACCTCCCACCTCACCCCTCCCGCCACCCCCGATATCACGTGCAATACTCTCTCTTCCCCTCCTCTCTCCCTCCCATCCCCACTCCTCATCTTCCTCCTCCTCATCCTCCTCCTCATAGTCCCATTCCACCTCCTCTCGCCCGCTCCACCTTTCCGCCGTCCCATGCCTGGCCTTCCCCGCTCGCGCACTCCTTTCGGCTCCCCTTCCCCCCCCTGCGCCACCTTCCGCCAGCCTCCCTTCCGCCAGACCCACTTCCGCTCCTGTTCCCCGCGCGGGCCCTGCAGCAGAGACCAGCGGTTGACCGGACGCGAAGGTCCATTTAACCTCGCCGGTTCGCGCGTCTACTGCTCTTATCGAGCCGTCTAATAGCGTGATTAAGACTGTAGACGAGGAGGAGGATGGTCTGGGATGGGTTAGGAAGATAAAGATCGGGGAAGAATCGTGGGAGATTAGAGAAAGAAAGAAAAAAAGAGTGACACATATTGTTGCAGATGCTAAAGAAGACGATAACGGAAGCATGCCACGAAAGAAAAAAGACTGCAGGAGAAGAAAGAACGCACTCCAAAAACATTTCACAAGCATTTCAAAAGCAGTTCAACAGAATTTCGAACGCAGTCCGAATGGCGGCAAACTTAATAGACCTCGGAAGGGAAGTTGACCGTGACGGAACGATGGTCCCTGCAGGTCCGTCTGACGAGGACAGGTCAGCGGTTATCCCGCGCGTGTCTTTCGAATCGACGAACGACACCGCTCCCTTGGAAGTTAGGACGCTCGGACTAGTAAGCCTGGAACCCGCAAGATAGGCTGGCTCCTTAGCGTCTTTCTTGTGAGAATCCTTAATGTTGCTGGACCTCGCGGCACTGGTGGAAGCTAAAAGGAGCAGGACGAGGATAAGCACGACACGGAGAGAAAGCCCGGAAATGCCACGTGTGCAGCAGTCCCGCCACCAATCATGCTCGCTCGGCTGCATTGCCAGGCTCCGGCGGTCCACTATCGAGGACGCATGCGACGTACTAACGAAGGGAAGGGGAAGCGCGCGAGCACGGGCTAAGTTAGGCCCGTCAGAGGAATGAGGAGCACAACCATCATCTCTGGAAAACGACAAATCCGCAAATCACTGGCAGAAGGTTGACAATACCAGATGGTTCGTAGCTTGAAGTGGCAGGTTGTGGCTGGAAAGAGTGGATTTGTGGCTGAAAAATGCTGGGAAGGAGGGAGAGATTCCAAGCCAGCCCCAAGCCAAATCCCCCAAGCCAAATCCCAAGGGAAAGGGTTTCCTGCCGAGGGGTTGTGCGAAAAGCGCGCGCGTCAATCCCAAGAAGCAGCCGCACAGGCACGCGAAGAAAGAGGGGGGGCTTGGTTGGTTTGGGTGCGCGGAACCGCAGTTGGCAGAACTGTATCCGCGGAACGATTTGTGGCGGATGGCGGAAGGCTTGGCGTGGCGGCGGGGTACGAGCAGTAGAGCTTCGGAGAAGGAACAGTTCTCGAAGCATCTGACACAACAATCGGTACGTCACGGTATCTGAATAGCACATTTAGAATGGCATAAAAAACGAATTGAGAAGGAATCTAATCTACAAGTTACTCACTATTGTTGTTACTAGCATCTCCAACGTCCAAAAACGCGGTATTACCCCTTTCAGGATCCCATGATAAGGAAAAAAAAGAAGGGAAGGATGGCTTCTCAAGCGTCCCTCCTGTTGTAACAAGGTGGTTGCTCTGCTTGTTGTGGATGTCAGCATGTGACGACCCCGATAACATCGCGTGTCTAGAGCTGCTCAAGGAAGCTGTCGCCACATCTCGGGCCTCCGTTTCCTGGTGGTGCCTTTGGATTTGGTCCTTTCGTTGCTTGAACTGGCTCCATAGATTCATCGGTGACTCTACATCCTTGGTCAGCAGTTCCCTCTCAGCAGATATGCTGCATCTCTCACCCTCATGAGTGGATGCAGAAGCATGCCTGATCTGAACCTCAGGACCTGCCCTTGCTGCCTGGGCCTGGTTACTGTTCTGTGCAGCCGGTACCTTTGAGTCTTTAGCCTCAATTATTGGCGCCTCCACTAGCTCCTGCTGCTGCTGCCCCAATGGCAGCTGCTGCAGAATCGGCTGCTGTTGTTGTCTCGGCTGCTGCTCCTGCTGCTGCTGTGCTGGCTGCTGAAGCTGCTGCTGCTGCAAGGTATGTTGCTGCTGCGACCCAACCTGCATCGACTCTTGGATATGCTCCCTCACTCCACCCCTCGGCTGCGTTTCTCTCTCCATCTGCTGCTGATTCTGCTCTGTTCCTGCCTGCTGCGCCTGCTGCTTATCTGGCTGTTGAGTCTGCTCCCTTGTCACCTCTGCCTGCTGCTGCAACTGCGTCTGCAGCAGCAGCTGCATCACCTGCTGCTGCTGCGCCATCCATTGCTGCATCAGTGCCGCCTGCTGCTTCAGCCACGCCTGCTGCACCTGCTGCATCTGCAGCATGTGCTCCCACTGAATCTGCTGCTGCTGCTGCTGTTGAGTCTGCTCACCCACTCCCGCGTCGCCCTCTCTTGTGGGTGAGGCAGAGAGCTGTCTGCTCCTCCTTCTCCTCCGCCTGCTAGGTTGCTGGTAATACTGCTGCTCGCACTCCCCTTGACTCGTACTACTCGGCTTTGCCCCCGCACCCCCATCAGCGCCCTCGCTAACTGAATCACCAGGGCTACTGAATACGAGTGAGCTGTGCTGCATGATGGTGCTTCTGGCTAGCGCTTGAAGGGGTGTTGTGGATTGCAGAGGAGGGCTCAGGGGAAAGGGCGGGATGGCGGGGGTTATTGCAGGGAAGGATGGGGACGAGGGGGACACCGAGGGGGGAAGCGCTGGGGGGGGGAAGAGAGGAGGGGCATTGGGAGGCGTGAAGGCAGGTAAGGAGGGCGGAAGGAAGGGACTGGTTGAAGCCTGTAGAATAGTGAGATGGGATGCCGGGGGCACGGCAGAGGGTGGAGATGGGGTTTGCTGTGTTGCTGGGATTGCAACCGTTCCTGCTGTTGCCCCTGCTGCCAGGAATGGCGGCACAGGCGTTACTTCTGGCTGATAGTGGCTGGTTGACGGGTGGGAGACGAGCGGAACGGAAGAGTGAGAGGGAGGAGGAAGCTGGAAGAGGCTAGTACGGTCTGCAGCAGTGGAATTTTTCTGAGGCGACTCAGGGACTGGGGAATGAGTGGCGGCAGTAGCAGTAAGAGACACAGACCGCTGGGTTGGGGGACCAGGAAAGGGGGAAAAGGGGGAGGAGGGAAATGAGGAAGAGACAGTGAGTGGGTGGGAAATGGTGGGAGCGATGGTGGTCTGTGGAGGGACGGAGAAGACAGGAGAGTGCGGGGGCAGAAGCGAGGGAGGAGAGGCGAAGCGGAAGGGCTCGGAGTGGGAATTGAGAGAGGGCAGGGCAATGGGGGAGGAGGGAAGGTCAGCAGTGGGTGGAGCAGGCGGTGCAGCAGATGGGGGCGGAGGGGCAGAGGCATGAGGCAGCACGGGCACGTGGGAGGCATCAGGCAGCTGCACAAAGTTTTTCAGAATCTTTCTCTGCGGCACCACTATGCTCGGAGGCCCCAGCAGGTCCTCCAACTCCTCCCCCCCTGCCAACTCTTCCCCTCGCTCGGCTGCACTGTTTGGCCTAAACTCACTCACTTGCTTCACCACCATCAGCTCCACTCCCAGCGCCACATGGTCCCTGCTGCCCGCACAAGCGACAGATGCTTCTTCAGCCACAACTGCATCTGCATTCAAAGAGGAGGCGTCGTCACCCTCAAGCCCTGCTTTCGCACCCTCAAGCCCTGCTTTCGCACCATCATTTCCGCCTCTCCGTTGCGGTCTGTCGTTCCCACTGACTGCGCCTGCTTCTCCCCGCTTTTCCACATCTCCTCCTGTGTCTCCTGCCTTGCCCATGCAGTGCCCTGAGCCTGTAACAGCTAACTCTTGCAAATCCTCGTCCACTCCCTCCTGCCTCCCATGCTCCCCTCTCCCCACCCGCAGCTCCTGAAACTGCTGCCACAGGGACACTCCCAGGCCGCCCCCCCTCTCACCACCAAACGACCTTGACCTCTCACCCCTCGGGCCCTCTGGATCGCGCTCCTGCTCTTGCAACGAAGGTGTCTGTGTCTGTGCCTTCAACAATGTGCCGCTTTCTGACTCCCAATCGCCTCGGAGGTCTTTCCGGGGAAGGTTCGGTGTGGCTGGCTCCGCAGAGCTATGCCTGTGCTGGCCTAGATGGCCGAAAGCTGCAGTGGCTCTAGGATCGTCCCTTCCATTGTGGGATGGCTCAGGGGCAGTGAGCGCCATGACTCGGATGGTCCGTGCAGGGTGGGAGACGAGAGAGGAGGAACGGCGGTGGGTGGGGTTGTGGGAGAAAAGTGGGTTTGCAGAGGTGACAGGCAGGGAGGGAGAGGTGGGGGGTGAGGAGGCAGAGGGGGAGGGCACAGGAGGTGGGGGCGCGGAGGGGGAGAGAGGAGCGCTGGGGGATGCAGGGGGTGAGGGGGGATGAGACTCTGTGGGTAAGGTGGGGGGAGAGACGGGGGTGAGTGGGGAGAGGGAGGAGAGTGGGGCGTTATGGCTGTGAAGAAAGGAGGGAGTGCTTCCAAGGGGTGAAGGTACATGGGGAGAGGCAAGGGAGCCTCCTCCATCCCCCTTGGAGCCTCCTCCATCCCCCTTGGAGCCTCCTCCCAAGCCACTGTCACTCGCTCCTGATGCCTCCCCTTCGTTACTCCTCCTCCCGGCCCCCACCCAGCTGCTGGACCTGCCAAAGCGGGGAAAGTGCCACTTACAATCCCGGGGGGCCGACTTGCTGCTGCCCCTGCCTGGACTGCTCGAGTCCTCACTGCCTCTGCTGTTCGCTCTGCTACTCACTCTGCTACTCAATCTGCTGTTCGCTCTGCTGTTAACTCTGCTGCTCTCCCTTCCAATCTCCCTCCCGCCCTCAGTTTCACTCCCTCTCCCCTTCCCACCCGTCTCTCCCTTGGCTGTCGTTAGCTCCCGGCCTGGCTGTCCCAGTGCCATGTCTGCTCCAGCATCCCCACCACCATCACCATCAGCAGCCGCCACTGCCGCATCAGCACTTCTGGCTTCCACATCAGCATTAGCACTGTCTTCTTCCCTCCACGCTCTAGCTGTCCTCTCTGCTGCCCTAGCTGCTGCCTCCAACAGCCTTCTCTGTTCCTCCTCAACCTTCCTCCCCCACCCCTCCCCTCTCCGCCTTATCCCACTCTCCCACCCCTCCCCTCTCTGCCTTATCCCACTCTCCTCCCTGCACATCTCTTCTTCCCGCCCCTTCCCTCTCACCTCCTCCTGTGCCCCTGCACCACTGCCACGCAAGCCAGCCCTGCTGGCGCTGCTGCCAGAGCCAGCATTCTCTACAGCCGCGTCACCAGCACGTTTGTTGAAGGCCAGGTTGGGCAAAGGGAAACTTAGAGGAACGGGAGCTGCTGCGCCACCAAGGCTGGAATCAGGAGCAGCAGCAGGCGCAGAAGAAGCAGCAGGAGCAGCAACAGGAGCAGCAGCAGCAGCAGCAGCAGCAGCAGCAGCAGGAGCAGCAGCAGCAGCAGAAAGAGCAGAAGCCGGTTCCTTTGCAGCAGCAGAGGGGGTGGAAAACACTGAAGACTGCAGCCGGGGGTCGCCTAGTGGGGAGGAGTCAGGGACGGAGGAGGACTTGGTGAAGGGTGGGATGGGGGCGGAGGGTTGGGTGGAAGGAGAGGGGGAGGTGGAGTGTGGGGGGAGAAGAGAGAGGAGGGAGGAAGGAGGGAGGGAGGAGGGTGAGGAGGGAAGGTGGGAAGGGAGGTCTTCTAGGCTGGAGCTCCTTCGCTGGCGCTGCTGCTGTTGCTGCCAAGGCTGCTGCTGCTCCTGTTGCTGTTGCTGCTGTTGCCGCTGTTGGTGCAGTTGGCGCTCCTGCTGCTGTTGTTGTTGCCACCTCAGAGCGCTGCTCCCCTGGGAAGTGCTTGTAAACAGAGGAGCAAGCTGCTGCTGCTGCCTCTGCTGCTGCTGCTGCTGCTGCTGCTGCTGCTGCTGCTGCTGCTGCTGCTGCTGCCCGTGCTGTGTGGCAGTAACGAGGGCATGCTCTGACCTGGGACTGGAGGAGGACGAGGCCGGGACGAGGAAGGGCGAAGCGGCCTGCTTCTGAGTCGACTCAAAAGCAGCAGCGAGGGCATGCTGTGCCTTGGGACTGGAGGAAGAGGAGGGCGGGACGATGAAGGGAACAATGGTCTGGGAGGGGGAAGAGAGGCGGGAGGAGTAGCGGGAGGAGGAGCGGTGCTTCTGAGTCGGCTCAAAGGCAGCCTGCGAGGGCGAGGAGAGGCGCGAGGAGGAGCGGGAGGAGGAGCGGTAAGACGTGGTGGAGATGGTGGCGGGGAGGGGCGGGTAGACCTGGGGATTGCGAGCTGAGGCCGGGGAGGAGCTGAAAAGGGGTAGGGGAGGGGTAGGGGAGGGGTAGGGGAGGGGTAGGGGGAGATTGGGGAGAAGAGGAGGGAAGAGAGAGAGGCATTGAGAGAAGAGATGAGGGAGGAAGGACGGGAGGAGAGCATGAGATGAATGTGCAGAGGGCTGCCTGGGAACCAAGTCAGGGTCGAGGTGAAAACAGGAGACGATAAAGTCAAAGCGTGGGGTAAAGGGGGGAGTGCGCCCTTCCAGGGGCGAGGGCTTACAATGGGGAGTGCGAGAGCACGAAGGGGTGGCGCAGCAGGGTGGTGGCGGAGGGGCGGCGGTGCGGGTCGAGGTGCAGGCAGCACGCGATGAAGTCTGCGAGGTCGTCGGACAGCCCGGGGGGAATGGGCGGCGGCACCTGGGTGGATGCGATCTTCATGAATGCTGTCTCCTGGGGGGTCAGGGCGGTGGGGGCAGGCAGGGGGGGTTTTGGGGTCGACTGAAAAATCACCTGGGTGGATGCGACTTAGCCCTGAGGCAAAGGGCGGAGGAGGCACCTGGGTGGATGCAATATTCAAGAACGCTGCCTCTTGCGGGCGGTGAGGGGGGTGAGGGGGGTGAGGGGGGTGAGTGCAGGGAGAGGGGGGAAGCAGGATGGAAGAGGAAGGGAGAGTTTAAGGATGAATGTGAGGCGGCACCTGGGTGGATGCAATCTTCAACAACGAGAAGAGGGGGGTCTCCTGGGAGCCTATTTTTGAGGCGTCTCAACAGTCCATGCCTCAGCAGTCCATGCCTAAAAAAAAGACTCTTGTGCAATCTCCTCTTTGAGAAGAGGGGGGTGTCCTGGTGGGTGCATGTGCAAGGAGGGTGGGGAAGCAGGACAGACGAGAACGAGAGAGACGGTGAAGGCTGAGAGGTTGTGCGCCAGCCCAGGGACAGGGGGGATGGGCGGCGGCACCTTGGAGATGGGAGATCCGCACACCAAGCAAGACTGCCCAAGCGCTCAAGTCTGCCCATGCGCTTGAGCGGTCTTGAGGCGGGATTGAGTTGCACGCAAAGGGGGTTGCTCGCATGCTCAGAGGGGGTTGGATGCATGCATAGGGGGGAGGCATCCTTCGAGGGGTTGGTCGCATGCTTAGGGGAGTTGGTTACATGCTTAAGGGGGTTGGTTACATGCTTAGGGGGGTTGGTTACATGCTTAGGGGGGTTGGCTACATGCTTAGGTCCCAAGTCCGTCAACCCGCCCAAGTCCGCCAACCGCCCAAGTCCGCCAACCGCCCAAGTCCGCCAACCACGCAAGTCCGCCAACCACGCAACTCCGCCAACCACCCAAGTCCGCCAACCGCCCAAGTCCGCCAACCGCCCAAGTCCGCCAACCGCCCAAGTCCGCCAACCACTCAAGTCCGCCAACCACCCAAGTCCGCCAACCACCCAAGTCCGCCAACCACCCAAGTCCGCCGACCACCCAAGTCCGCCGACCACCCAAGTCCGCCGACCACCCAAGTCCGCCGACCACCCAAGTCCGCCAACCACCCAAGTCCGCCAACCTCCCAAGTCCGCCAACCACGCAAGTCCGCCAACCACGCAATTCCGCCAACCACCCAAGTCTGCCAACCACCCAAGTCCGCCAACCACCCAAGTCCGCCAACCACGCAAGTCTGCCAACCACCCAAGTCCGCCAACCACCCAAGTCTGCCAACCACCCAAGTCCGCCAACCACCCAAGTCTGCCAACCACCCAAGTCCGCCAACTACCCAAGTCCACCAGGGGTCAAGATGGGGCAGGCAGAGGAGGGGTCAAACAAAAAAGGAGAAGAAAGCGGACTGGAAGAAGAGGGAATCGGGAAGGGGGAAGGGGGAAAGAGAAGGGGAAGGGGGAAGGGGAAGGGGGGAGGGGAAGGGGGAAGGGGGAAGGGGGAAGGGGGAAGGGGGAAGGGGGAAGGGGGAAGGGGGGAGGGGAAGAGGGAAGGGGGAAGGGGGAAGGGGGAAGGGAAGGCGGGAGGGGAAGGGGGTGGGGACGAGAGCACTGTGGTGTGCACTCACGGGCCCAAAGCCGCGGCCCCAGATGGGGCAGCCAGAGGCGGGGTCGAACCAGGGCGGCCAGAGAGTGAGCATCTCGATCACGGTGCAGCCCAGCGACCAGATGTCCACCGCCCAGTCGTATCCGCCACACGCATTGATCACCTGGGGGAGAAAGACCCAGTGGGGGAGGGGGGAGGTGCGGGGGAAAGGAGTGGGTGTGAGGGCTGGAGAGGAGGAAGATGCAGCAATAGAGAGCGAGATGGCTGCAACTTCCCTCGGGACCAGAGAGCCCAGTGCAGCAGCACCACACCTGACAGCCAGTGCCCACCTCAGGTGTCTCATATACCTCAGGTGCCATCCACCAGATACCACCTACCTCAGGTGCCATCCACCGGATACCACATACCTCAGGTGCCATCCACCAGATACCACCTACCTCAGGTGACATCCACCGGATACCACCTACCTCAGGTGCCATTCACCAGATACCACTTACCTCAGGTGCCATCTACCAGATACCACCTACCTCAGGTGCCATCCACCGGATAACACATACCTCAGGTGCCATCCCCAGATACCACCTACCTCAGGTGCCATCCACCGGATACCACCTACCTCAGGTGCCATCCACCAGATACCACCTACCTCAGGTGCCATCCACCAGATACCACCTACCGCAGGTGCCATCCACCAGATAACACCTACCTCAGGTGCCATCCACCAGATACCACCTACCTCAGGTGCCATCCACCACACAGTTCCGCGGCAGCCAGTCATGTCCAGAGACGCGGAGTACTGGGGGGGAGGGGGGACGGAGAGAGGGAGCGAGGGGGAAGAGGGGATGGTGAGAGAGGAGAGCGGTTTGAGCAGACTACAACGGCCGCCAGACATGTCCAGAGAGGCAGGGCAGCGTACTACTGGGGGGCAGCGGAGGTGGAAGGGGGGGAAGAGGTGACAGAGACAGGAGTCACAAGGAAGCAGAAGGAGGAAGTCGGCAAACACGAAGCCAGCAAATCAGGATCGTCACTTACGTGCTTGGCGAGCCCAAAGTCTGCAAGTTTGATGGTGCCACTCTTATCCACTAGAATGTTGCTGCACTTGATGTCCCTGCGCGCACAGCATGGGGCATGGACAGAAGGATGCACGGTAGCATGACGTATAAAGTGTGAGGCACTCTATAAGGTGTCGTTACATACCCTTGCTGTGAGGCAGGCAGCTTTCGCATCTAATCGATCGAAGCAATCCTCTCAGTGCTTCGTGAGCCCTTGCTGCGAGCCTTGCTGAGGCCTCTCAGGCAGCAACAAGCTCCCAGTCAGGACGTGCGTCTGCCGCTGATCCCAGGAGCATGAACCTTCCCATCTTTCCGTCAACGTCGGCTTCAGCGCTTTCTCTCTGCCCCGACCTGCCAATGCTGGTCACCAATCCAGATGTTGCCATCCCCCATGCCATCCACCCACTCACCTGTGCACGAGCGCCATGGAGTGCAGGCGCACTGGCAGCAGCCCTCGCAGCGCCATGACCTGCCCTTAGCCCGTGCTGACGTTGGGTCGCTGTGCGCTCACCCGTGCACCAACTCCATGGAGTGCAGGAAAGCCAGCCCCTGCAGCACAGGACCTGCCGCACATGCTTGCAGGAAAAAAGATGCAGCCGCACAAAGACAAGGCCCAAGCCTCCCTGCGCTCACCTGTGCACGAACTCCATGGAGTGAAGGACCGCCAGCCCCTGCAGCACCTGGCGCACATACTTGCTGAGCAGCGAGTGCGGCCTCACTGGCAGCTTCTTCAGCACGTTGAGGATGGACCCCATCTCCACGTACTCGAGGAATATGTACAGGTATTTGTCGTCCTGGGGGGGTGGATGATTGGGTTCGAGAATAAGAGAGTGCATAGCAACGAACAGCAAGGTGGTAGCTTTTGTCACACGTTGAGGATGGACCCCATCTCCACGTGCTCGAGGAATATGTGCACGTACTTGTCGTTGTGGGGGATGGGATGGGTTGGCAACGCGTACAGGTGAATGGCAAGAATACATGACAAATGCCCCACCACTACATGCCACATGCGCATTGACCCACCTTCGAAGGACCACAGGCATGCATGTGATTCACACTCTCACAGCCGAGGTATAATCCGTGGGATGATCATCGTGCTTTTAGACGCCTCAAAAAGCTCATCATACCTGCATATGCGACTCACAAGCTCACAGCCGAGGTACTGGACAATGTTGGGGTGGTTGATGCGACTCAGCAGCATGATCTCCTGCGGGGGGCACAGCACGGTAGGGAGAGAGGGCAGCACCAGCAGATATAGGCTTGCGCACATCTCCCTTGCATCCTGAAACACAAGGCTCGAACAAACCCCACCTGCTTGAGTTGCTCACACCTGATTGAACCGCCCACCTGTTTGAGTTGCCCACCTGATTGAACCGCCCACCTGTTTGAGTTGCCCACCTGATTGAACCGCCCACCTGTTTGAGCTGCTCTCACCTGTTTGAGCTGCTCTCACCTGTTTGAGCTGCTCTCACCAGCTTGAGCTGCTCTCACCTGTTTGAGCTGCTCTCACCTGTTTGAGCTGCTCTCACCTGTTTGAGCTGCTCTCACCTGTTTGAGCTGCTCTCACCTGCTTGAGCTGCTCTCACCTGCTTGAGCTGCTCTCACCTGCTTGAGCTGCTCTCACCTGCTTGAGCTGCTCTCACCTGCTTGAGCTGCTCTCACCTGCTTGAGCTGCTCTCACCTGCTTGAGCTGCTCTCACCTGCTTGAGCTGCTCTCACCTGTTTGACCTGCGCCCACCTGTTTGAGCTGCTCAATGGAGTGCTGGCCCCTGAATTCAGCATCCGAGCGGTCCAGCGCCACCTGCTTCACGGCAAATACCTCGCCCGTCACGCTGCTGCAAGGGGTGCAGTGCAGTTGACGACCGTGAGGGGAGGGATGTAACAGGCAGAATTTGACAAGTTCCAACTAGCACGCACAACACCACACTGCCATGCCATGCCCTCTGGGCGCTTGGAACGACCCCATCTGCACACGGAAGAGATCCAACCCCCCCCCTCATACCCTTCGTTCCACCCACCCACCTCACACACTGAAACACTCTGCCGAAGCCCCCTGCACCGATCTGGCTGCCGCGCACCCACTGGCCCTTGGCGGGGCATACAGGCAGCGGGCGCGAGGGGGACAGCATCTCCGGCGCTCCCAGCGCGGACAGGGGGTCGGGGGACGGCAGCGGGAAGCCTAGGGGGGAGCCCGTAGGGGAAGGTGGGGGAGAGGCGGAGGCGGGAGGTGGGGGGAAGGCGGGTGCGTGCCAGGGGGATTGGCGAAGGTCTAGGAGGCGCGGGTCGGTGAGTGAGCGGGTGATTGCGGGGGGGGATGTAGTGGGGGCTGCGAGGAAAGAAAGACGGCCCGAACGACCCAGCTCGCTGCTGATCCCACCTGCGCCTGCTCCCACCGCCCCTGCTTCCACTGCTCCTACCGCTCCTCCGCCTCCTCCGCCTCCTCCCCCTCCTCCCCCTCCTCCGCCCACTGCTGTCGCTCCTACTTCCCCCGCGCCTGCTCCTGACCGGCTTACTCCTGCCGTCCCTCCCACCCCCCATGCTCCGCCTGCCCCACCCGTCACTCCGCCCACTAATCCGCTGATTGCAGGAGTCCCCCCTGCTGCTCCCCATGCTCCGCCTCCCCCTCCCGCTGCTCCCGAAGCAAAACCCGGAGCTAGCGACTCCGGCCAGTCCCAAGGCACCACGGCGGCCCAGCTGCTGCTGCTCAAGCCTCCGCTGGAGGCTCGGGAGAGAGAACGCCCGGTGGAGGTTCGGGAGAGGGGGGGTCCGGTGGAGGTTCGGGAGAGGGGAGGTCCGGTGGAGGCTCCGGAGAGGGGAGGTCCGGTGGAGGTTCGGGAGAGGTTCGATGTGGATGAGAGTTCCGAACGAGTTGCTGTGACGTCAATGCCGGCAGGATTGACGTCAGGAGGACCGTCGGGCTGACAGCGAGGCGAAGCTGACGTGGACAGCGATGACGTGGATCCGCCATATGAGCGAGCTGGCATGGAGGGTGACTGACGCTGCATGGCGGTCAGCACGAGCTGACACGAGCTAGAAGCGTACGAACGGTTGTAACATGCTGCATGGCGCTGAATCCGAGCTTCTAATTCTTGATGCGTACGAACGAACGGTTACGAAATGCTGCATGGCAGCGAGCGTACGACAGGCTCTGACATGCTGCATGGAGGTATGTATGAGTTTCTAATATCTAGAGGCGTACGAGCGATTCTGACATGCTGCATGGCGATGAGCACGAGCTTCTACAAGCTAGAAGCGCACGAGCTGTTACGACGAAGTTTCATTGGCGTCGACTGGTGGCTCCGCTTTAGAAGGCAACGGAGCAAGCTCTCAACAGGCTTGTGTGGTACATTCGACGGACAACGCAATCAAGTGTTCGACTCCGGCGAGAAACTTAACGGCGGGGATCCGTCATTTGCGGACGGAACGGTGAAGCCTGGTATCAGGAAGAGTGGGATGGGAAGACCGAGAAGCATGAGAGAAGGCATGGACGGGAGGTAGATCTGTGACTCTCCAGGGTAGGACTGGTACTTTCTAGGGTAGGACTGGTTCTTTCTAGGGCTGGACCGTCAATATCTAGGGTTGAAAATTGGCTTAGTGGTCTGTACTCCAGATCTGCTGGTCAGTTACTCGCTATTGCGTGACCCCGTGCGTCTCAGAGTGCCACAAAAACACGACGCAAAGGTAGGTGCGAGCTGTTTCAGCATTAAAGCCCTAAGTGACATTAAATTCCGCCCAAATGAACGATAATCGCTTGAAAAACTGTTCAAATGTAGCATTGAAAACCATTACTCCGTAGTGTGCAAAATATGTAAATTCACAGTTTTGGTGGAAGCGGGAGCCTAGCTAGGCACAATAATCAACAAGTAAAACACTTCAGCCAGAAGAGACCACGAAGATCCCATTGGGAAAGAGAGGAGCCCCTCACTTCACTTACCTTGGGGGCTCTCAGGCTCCCTCCTTAGTCACTCGCTTCACTTGCTGTGGGGGTTTCAGGTCCCCTTAAAGCTTCTCACTTCACTTACCCTAGGGGATTTCAGACCCCCACCCGTTTGTTTCTCATCTCCCCACCTCCCATATCTCACCACCACATCTCACCACTCCCCGCCAACACCAAATCTCAGAGCTCAGAGCACAGAGCCAAGAGCCCAGAGCCCAGAGCCCAGAGCAAAGAGCCCACAGCCCAAAGTCAAGAGCCCGGAGCCAACGGCCTAGAGCCAAGATCCCAGAGCCACAAGCAACCATGCAGTGGGTAAGACCATGCGAAAGATTACATCAGCTAGTGTGTATGGTATAGAGTTTTTTGTCTCATGATTCTGGGTTCATGATTCTGAGTTCTTGATTCTGGGTTCCTGATTCTGGGTTCATGATTCTTCTGGGTTTGTGATTCTGGTTCATGATTCTGTGCTCATGATTCTAGGTTCTTGATTCTGGGCTCATCATTCTGGGTTCATGATTCTGGGTTCATGATTCTGGGTTCATGATTCTGGGTACATGATTCTTCTGGGTTAATGATTATGGGTTCATGATTCTGTGCTCATGGTTCTGGGTTCTTGATTCTGGGTTCATGATTCTGCGTTCATGATTGTGGGCTCATAATTCTGGGTTCATAATTCTGGGTTCATGAGTATGGGTTCATGATTCAGGGTTCATGATTCTTCTGGGTTCATGATTGAGGGCTCATGATTCAAGGCTCATCATTCTGGGTTCATGATTCTGGGTTCATGATTCTTCTGGGCTCATGATTCTGGGTTCATGATTCTGGGCTCATGATTCTGGGTTCATGATTCTGGGTTCCTGATTCTGGGTACATGATTCTTCTGGGTTCATAATTATGGGTTCATGATTCTGTGCTCATGGTTCTGGGTTCTTGATTTTGGGTTCATGATTGTGGGCTCATGATTCTGGGTTTATAATTCTGGGTTCATGATTCTGGGTTCATGATTATGGGTTCATGATTCAGGGTTCATGATTCTTCTGGGTTCATAATTGAGGGCTCATGATTCAAGGCTCATGATTCAGGGTTCATGATTCTGAGCTCATAAATCTGGGTTCATGATTCTGGGTTCATGATTTTGGGTTCCTGATACTAGGTTCATGATTTTTCTTGGTTCATGATTCTGGGTTCATGATTCTGTGTTCATGATTCTGAGCTCATGATTCTAGGTTCTTGATTCTAGGTTCATGATTCTGGGTTCCTGATACTAGGTTCATGATTTTTCTTGGTTCATGATTATGGGTTCATGATTCTGTGTTCATGATTCTGAGCTCATGATTCTAGGTTCTTGATTCTAGGTTCATGATTCTGGGTTCTTGATTCTGGGTTCATGATTCTGGGTTCTTGATTCTGGGTTCATGATTTTGGGTTCATGATTCTGTGCTCATGATTTTAGGTTCATGATTCTGGGCTCATGATTCTGGGTTCATGATTGTGGGCTCATGATTCTGGGTTCATGATTCTGGGTTCATGATTCTGTGCTCATGATTCTGGGTTCATGATTGTGGGCTCATGATTCTGGGTTCATGATTCTGTGTTCATCATTCTGAGCTCATGATTCTAGGTTCTTGATTCTAGGTTCATGATTCTGGGTTCTTGATTCTGGGTTCATGATTCTGGGTTCTTGATTCTGGGTTCATGATTCTGTGCTCATGATTTTAGGTTCATGATTCTGGGCTCAAGATTCTGGGTTCATGATTGTGGGCTCATGATTCTGGGTTCATGATTCTGGGATTATGATTCTGGGTTCATGATTCTTCTGGGTTCATGATCGTGGGCTCATGATTCTAGGTTCATGATTCTGGGTTCATGACTCTGGGTTCATGATTCTGGGTTCATGATTCTCCTAGGTTCATGATTCTGCATTCATGATTGTGGGTTCATGATTCTAGGCTCATGATTTTTGGTGAATGATTCTAGGTTCATGATTCTGAGCTCATGATTCTGGGTTCATGATTGTGGACTCATGATTCTTTGTTCATGGCTCTGGGTTCATGATTCTGGGTTCATGAATCTGAGCTCATGATTCTAGGCTCATGATTCTGGACTCATGATTCCGGGTTCATGATTCTGAGCTCATGATTCTGGGTTCATGATTCTGGGTTCATGATTATGGATTCATGATTGTGGGTTCACGATTATAGGTTCACGTTTCTTCTGGGTTCATGATTCTTGGTTCATGATTCTGGGTTCATGATTGTGGGCTCATGATTCTGGGTTCATGATTCTGTGCTCATGATTATAGGTTATTGATTGTGGGTTCATTATTCTAGGTTCATGATTCTGGGTTCATGATTGTGGGCTCAAGATTCTGGGTTCATGATTCTGGGTTCATGATTATGGATTCATGATTCTGGGTTCATAATTCTAGGTTCACGTTTTTTCAGGGTTCATGATTCTGGGTTCATGATTGTGGGCTCATGATTCTGGCTTCATGATTCTTCTGGGTTCATGATTCTGGGTTCATGATTGTGAGCTCATGATTCTGGGTTCTTGATTCTTGGTTCATTATTGTGGACTCATGATTCTGGGTTCATGTTTCTTCAGGGTTCATGATCCTGGGTTGATCATTGTGGGCTCATGATTGTGGGTTCATGATTCTGGGTTCATGATTTTTTAGGATTATGATTCTAGGTTCATGATTCTTCTAGGTTCATAATTTTGGGTTCATGATTGTGGGCTCATGATTCTGGGTTCATGATTCTACGTTCTTGATTCTGGGTTCATCATTCTGGGTTCATCATTCTGGGTTCATGATTCTGGATTCTTGACTCTGGGTTCATGATTTTGGGTTCACTGCCCGGTCCACTGCCTGGTCCACTGCCCGGTCCACTCCCAATCCTATGCCCGTTCCACTGCCAGGTCCACAGCCCGGTCCACTGCAGAGTCCAATGCCCAGTCCACTTCCCCGTCAACTGACTGGTCCACTGCCTGGTCCACGGCCCGGTCCACTGCTTGGTCCACTGCCCAATCCACAGCCCGGTCCACTGCCCGGTCCACGGCCCGGTCCACTCCCCAGTCCACTACCGTGTCCACTGCCCAGTCCACAGCCGTGTCTACTTCCCAGTCCACCGCCAGGTCAACTGCGCAGTCAACTGCCCAGTCCCCTGCCCAGTCCACCCCCCCGGCCACTGCCGGGTCCACTGCTCGGTCCACTCCAGTGCCCGGTCCACTGCTTGGTCCACTTCCACGTCCATCGCCCTGTCCACTGCCCGGTCCACTGCCCAGTCCACTGCCAGGTCCGCTGCCCCGTCCACTGCCTGGTCCGCTGCCGGTCCACTTTCCGGTCCACTGCCCAGTCAACTGCCCGGTCCACTACCCAGTCCAATGTCTGGTCCACTGCCCGTTCCACTGCCCGGTCCACTGCCCGGTTCACTGTCCGGTCCACTGCCCGGTCCACAGCCCTGTCCACTGCCTGGTCCAGTGCTGGGTCTACTGCCCGGTGTATAGCCCGGTCCACTGCCTGGTGCACTCCCGGTCCACTGTCCGGTCAACTGCCTGGTCCACTGCCCTGTCCACTGCCCGGTCCACTGCCCGGTCCACTGCCAGGTCCACTCCAGTGCACTGTCTGCTCCACTGATCGGTCCAGTGCCCGGTCCACTGCCCAGTCTAGTTCGAGGTCCACTGCCCGGTACACTGCCCGGTCCAAGGCCCGGTCCACTGCGCGGACACTGCCCGGTCCACTGCCTGGTCCATAGCCCACTCCATGTTGAGAATAGCCTTGATGCTGCGAAGGTTGCAGAAGTCTGCTGAACCGGCATATCAACGAAGTCTGCGGGCATGAGCCCTGCAGAAAGGCCCGTCGACAAAGAGCAGATTTGTCGACAAGGCGAGGCTCTGTGGGAAGTGGCAGAGGAGCAGTTTTCGTTGGTGGCAGAAAAGCGGTTCTGTCGGAGTGGCAGAACAGGAGTGCATTTTCTGCATATGGCTTCTACAGCGATAGGTGCTATTGTAGAAGCCATCTTGGCCGAGTCGAGAGTGTACAAGACCCTCTGCCGAATTGGCACCAGGGGCCATTCGCAGAAGGGCTGTCCTCTGCCAAAGTATCGCACTGAAGACATTTCTGCAGGCAATCCTTTCGGTAGAATCGACTCTCGGAAATGCGTTCCAACAGGACCTCAGGCAGACTGGCGTAAGGACCAGTTCGCGCAGAATTACGTTCTGCCGAAGTTCGGCAGAAAGGCTATTCGGCTATCTCTTATGTTGTTGACCCCCTCGGCAGAGATGAAAATCGGCAGAAGCACGGTAGAGAGTCACCTCGAACCTCGCTTCTGCGAACGACCCCTTCGACAGAAATCGGGGACTTCGTTTTCTGCTGAAGGTGGCGTTCCGAAATCGCGAGAAATTTGCGATTTCGTAAGTTGACCACTGAATCGATTTGGACCGAAAACAGCAAAATCTACCTGAGACATTGAGAAATCGAACACGTGATACACATTTTGTAACTGCGGAAATGTGCGTAACATCTGACAGTTTCACACCTGAAACTGTTAAAATAACTACTTATGAATGGGTAAAATTTACCAACTAAGCATGCGTT